ACTGCTTTGATTTGGATTTAATGTACATATTCATCTCTATGTGACTACTTTGTTCTGTTTTCAGCAAGCTTGATGGAATATCTAATTAAAACTTGGATGCTGGTTGTAGCGTCTTTAATTATTGGCAGGACATACAGACATGTTTTTCTTGCGTAATGCAATTCTGTGTGTATGAAGTCACCACCCTGGAGTTAATATTACAACAATTAGCTGTGACAGCCAGTTGTGACAGACAATTGACAATATACCCCGATGGCATTAGCCCAAGAATTAGGATAGATAATGAAAGGTCACTGAGCTGAGAAAGGCCATCTAGATGAGAACAGCTACCTGGAGTCAAGGAAAAATAAAGGTCAGGCTGCGTCATTAAAGGTAAATGGTTTCATTTTCTTTAGTGAGCCCGGGAGCACAAATAATTTTGAGCTTGAAATATTTGAGGACCAGCTCCACCTTCAGGCAGGCATCAAGGTGAAGTTGAGGTAGAAGCATAAAACTAATGCATGTTTTCATTCTTGTTATTTTAGAATTACTTGAGAAAGAAAGTGAGGCAAAGAAGTGAAAACTTTCATATCACTCCGATCTCCAAGAATGAATGAAATGTTATTTTGTGTTGAATAATTTAAAGGATCATTTTACGCATGAAGAACAAAAATCTGCAGTTGGGAAGTTTTCTGGTCTATTATTAATGGGATACTCTAGTACTATCTTGTCCCTCTGATAAAAGCAGTATATTTAGATTTGTTTCTTTACTTTTTTTTCTCTAGGACTATGTGGAACATACTGAGGATACAGACAGACAAAAGTCAAATGGATCATGGCACAACAGTGGTTTGAGAAGTTCCTATATCAATGAATTAATCAGTCAGTCATTTATGTGTCATATGGAATTATAAAAGGTACAACTCCAGTGAAATGTAGTCCCTTCAGTTGGTTTAAATTTAGACCTTTTCTGTCTCCTCACATTGTCGGCTGCTGCTTTAGAATTGTCCATGTTTCTGGATGGTACTGATGGAATGCTTTAACTGTCCAAACATCCCGACACCAACAAGACAGCTGCATGGTCGCTCCTCCCGAACATGGGCTCTGAATGGCAATATAGCAGTGATCCACTCCAGGAATGGAACAGCACCTCACATTCCCACAGTCACACCAGTTCTTATTCCTCGTAAGTCACACAAGTCCTCTCCTTCTCTTGTCTGTGTTCTCTACTCGGTCAGATTGTGATAAAGAAAAAGAGCCTCCTGGTTGAATAGTTCTGTCCAGGATTCAGCCAAGTTTCGGTGAATCAAAGGATATTACAGTTCCTGATATCCTGCCGATTGTGTTAAACAGCCAAAGATTCTGAAGCCCCATAGTCCAAAAGAATGTCCCACTGGACTGAAAGCCCATTTCTTCGAAAGCCCATCATCCCAAAAACAAACACCCATTGTCCTGCTCCCTGAGGTTAGACAATCCAATTGCCAGAAAAAAAGATGTTCATATTGTTTGTGGGTGAAGCTGGGGCTCAGGAGTTAGAGTAGTTGGTCTACAATCAGTTAATCAACGAATCAATCTCTGACTCCTCCAGTCAGCATGTCAAAGTATCTTTGGGCAAGATACTGAGCCCCAAATTGCTCCATCGGTGTATGGGAGAGTTAAAACTGAGTAGCAGGTGGCCCCCTTTTATGGTAGCCTCGGCCACCCATGGGTGAATGTGACGTGTAATGTTAAAGGTACATTACATTTGTCAACAACGCTGTGGTAAGTGTGTAGTTTAGACACAAAAACCACAAAAATGATGGTTAGGAAAACATCATGTTTTGGCTTTAAGCACCCATGACTGGTGGTACAAAAGTCGCTGGGAAAGCAGCAAAGGGGTTGGTTAAAAACACCCAGGTTTGGTGGCTCAAACACCCCTGTGAAACAGAAACTAACTGCAGGGAGGATGTATTTTCATAGACGAAATGGGCTTTCAGAACAATGGGACATTTTTGGGACTAATGGGGTTTTGGAATTTTAGACTGTTGGAACAATGGCATGGCACCATCATCAGCTTACTAGGCTTTAATGATGAGGAAAACTGCAAACCTTTTACAACTTTTGACCTGCCTGGAACAAGGTGACTAGCTTTTAAGCCTCACTTTTAATACTCACAAGATCGATTTTGAATGGAGTATGACTTCAATATTCAAAGTCTAGGAAAATTATGATTAATGTGACCACAGTTCCAGCAAGACACGTGAAAATAGTTTAATATCAGAGTTAGTGCAAGCTTTTTAAAGTGCTACATCCAACTTCTCTAATGGTGTAATTCTGCTCAGTTCACAGGCACCATTATAGACTGTATACTTATTGGTATGCTTGCTTTACTAACCCTGCCTTTTCCAATGATCTAAAGCCAGACACCAAATTGTAAAGATATTTTGGTTCTCAGAGGACCACACAAAACGAGAACAAAACATGTTTACCTTTAGCTATTGGGCCGGCAGGGATCCAGCATATTGTAGATGGACACAGAGGAAAGAATGCATCAAAGCGTTGTCATTTGTTACCAGAGCACTAACAACCCTGCAGCTCAAATAGCTTAATGGCTCAATTATTTTAGTGAAATGGTGACCACATGTTTAAAAGTGTGCCTATGTTGGTTCCAAGGCATTAGCTGTACCAGACTGAATGTACTGCACTCTATAAACAAACAATCATACATACATTCCCTGTCAAAGAGAGATATGGGAGCTTAATATGAATCAACAGCCATGTTTCTTTAACAGCTCCATTATGCATTAAGTATGTAAACCACTGAAAGCTGAAATGTAAAACACATGTGATTGGTGCTTGATTAATCGCCTGTGCTCAAAACACTTTAGGTGACACTGGTAGACAGGAATTTGGGAATGAATAAGGAAAGTGGCTCCTGTGGAATTCAACTTGTCTACCAATTAAATAAAAGAGCCATAAAAGGGCAAGAGACGTCTTTTGTTAAAGTTTTTACAAAGCTTAATATGACTCCCCCAAAACACACACAGAGACGAATTCAACTCTCCTACAGAGATAAGGAATGAGTAATGGTCGTATTATCCTTAAATCAAGCTTTGTGAAGTTGGAGGAAAGAGAAGAAAAAACTAATAGGAGCCGCATAACTGCATGGATTTAGTGATGAAACAGTGACCCCTGCAGGAGAAATCCTCACACTGCCATAAAGATGCAACCAACCAAGCCTTCTCATCAATTTTAAAGTTTTCTGATCTTAAGTGATAAAATATAGATAGAAGTGATAAAATCTGAAGAAGTGATATTCAGATTTTGTTTGGCACATTTTTTTTAATCAAAATATAATGCAGGTGGGGCTTATAGCTCAGAAAGTAGAGTGTCTGCCCCAGGTAAGCTGAGTCTTTTGCAGCAGCACAGGTTCACTTCCAACCTGTGGACCTTTGCTGCATGTCATCCCCCTCTCTTTTCCCCTTTTCCTGTCATTCTCTAGATGCAGTCAATAAAAGCCCAAAATAATCTTTTAAAAAAAATATACTGCTGCCGACCAACAGAGTCAATGATGCAACAGATCTGCAAGAGACTGGAGAAACTGTAGATGCATTGAGGAGAGAAGTGAATGCACGTCAGACTATGTAAATGTTGCAGGCCAAATTTAGGAGGTCTGGTGGGTTGGACTATTCCTATTGTTATCTCTGTTTACCTGAATTATTTATTTTGGTATAAGAAAGAAAACAAACTGCTGTGGGTCCACTAAATCAGGCTCCTATTCATTGTCTACAGGGCAGCTCCAGACTTTATACCCTATGACATTACAAGTGTGAGATTTACTTGTCTGGTTTCTGGCTTCGAGTTTTGGTGTTTGCCTTTAAATAACAAATCTTCTTGGTACAGATTAAATGGCAGAAGCTGAACTTTGAATCCCCAAAATATGGCATTTGTCTTATAAAAGTTAAATTGTAGACAAGATTAGCTATTCTTTAGACATGTGGCGCTGTCAATATTTATTGTGCCCTCTCACATGGATCCCTGTAAATTAGGTTCAGTGAGACACAGTTCTCCCTATACACCAGGTGTGTCAAACACACGGCCCGAGGGCCAGAACTGGCCTGCCAAAGGGTCCAATCTGGCCCTCTAGATGACTTGGCACACCTAATGTTGATGCACATGTGAAGGCTGAGAGGTTTCAAGAGCAATTTAAACAGTGAGCAGATACTTCATGTAAAATACTGCCTTAAAAGCTTTTCTTCTCTGACCAGAATACAGCTCTCTGAAATTACAATTTGTACTTTCTATGGTCATATTTAAAGATATTTAATATTGTGAAAAATATTGTCAACCAGCAGTTTCAGTTCAAAAAGAGTCTGTATCAGACTTCTGTCTTAAAACAATATTAATGGAACCTTTACACTGAATGTGGAAAAACTAAGACATATACTGTTGAATTTGCAGTTTCTTTTTTGGGAAATGGATGAACATTTTCAGAATAAAACAAAAAATTAAAGGGGTTTATATTTATAGGTTATTATGGGCCGGCCCACTTGAGATCAAATTGGGCTGTATGTGGCCCCTGAACTAAAATGAGTTTGACAGTCCTGCTATACACTCTCTGTCAGTCATGGAGGGCCTCATCTTGTACTGCAGGCATATTGCACTGTGAGTTTTTGGCATATGGCAAAAAAATATGCAGGGTATGTGCAAGCAGGAGCATTTTGTGTTCTTCATGTCTTTCAGTGCCTGCATTTATGGACAAATTGAGCAGGTTAACATTTTCATTTTTCATTTAATGACTCCCCACTTTTTTTCCTAACACTTGAGATACCCGATTCCCTGTGTAAAATGAATTAAATCTGAACTCCCATATAATTTGAAATAGTCAAAATACAAATTTGCACCTCACTAGGCTGCATCATGCATAAACTTACAGAGTCACTGCTGCAATATGCTTATCATTTCTGCGCCTCTCCAGGCAGCTTTGAGATCATATCTGAACCGTGTAAGACTGGAGTTAGAGACCAGAGAGCCTGGGGACTATCATAGACTGACAGGAAGTCGTTGTTCATCTGACCAATCACATCAAGAGAAGTCCAGCAGGACGGAGACCAGGGAGACGACTCTCCCCACTAGCATCCACTCTGTTTGTAGCTGCCTTAGCTCTGTCATTAAGTTAGTTCACCAGCCTCCCTACAGCCTGCTGCACTCTCAAAAGCAGTGCAGGTCTGTCCTTTTTTTTACTGCGATACAGACGAGTAGAGCAGCAGGTGAACTAAGTAACATTTCGGGTAGAAGACACCGGTGGAGATGTGTAATAAGCTGCACTGGACACTAAGGACCTACCTGGCTGCCAGCCTATCAACTGACAGCTGTCACCGCACCTAGCTGCTTAGCTAGCTGGCTAGGTGAGCTAACGGCTAACAAGTGTTTTTTCGGGCTCATTGCCTGGCTAAATTAGCCAGCCGGTGCTGCCCTTTGGTCAGAGTGGAAAGCGGCGACTTCCGCATGGACGTTTCATCTTATTATTTTCTCAACATTATTTGACTCCGCCTGCTGTTCAAACCATGAGTTAGCCGAGGAGCGTCGGACCGCAGTGTTTGGAATATTTTGAGTTCCAGCTAGGTAGCTAGCATTTAGCTTGAAGCTAGCCGACTGCATTCATTCAATTATTGAAAAACTGCTAAGTGGTTAACACCAGCATCTCAACGAACAGGGACTGGTTATATCCAATCCAAATTGTTGTGACGACACGACAATATTTTGGACTTGAACGTGCTTTGGATAACCTCGGGGAGAAATGAAGAAATTTTTTGATTCTCGTCGGGAGTTGGTGAGCTCTGGGCCTGGCTCCGGAGTCGGTGGAGGAGGCGCTGGTTCCGGCGGCGGTGGCAGCTTCATCGGACGGGTCTTCACCATTGGACGGTATCAAGTGACCGTCGAGGAAATTGTCGCCGAAGGTGAACTATGGCTTTCTGTTGTGTGGATAACACACACGTCATGCATACACGTTTAACTAGATCCCCAATCTCACCTGTACCACATTGTTGTGAGGATGGACAGTGAAGTAACACCAGTCAAATGAGTGGGCCTCTTTTCTTGTGCTATGGCCTAGCCAGAGAACCAACATGATGATACACTACCACCTTTATTATATGTTATTGATGAGGAAAGCAGTGGTCATGCCTATAGGCACAGGGCTCTAACAGCACAGTATCAATTGTGACCACCCAAGGCTGCTGTTTTGAGCTTTTGAAATTTCATGTACTTGCCAGGCAGTTTTACTCCAATCAGACTTTTGTTTTGTGGCCTGAGCTTACTATCTCAGGCATAGTAGAGTGGAAAAAAGATTTAAAAGCTGAAAATTCATATGATAGAAAGGGTGTGTATACAGCTGTAAATTGTTCAGATTATCTTCGCTTTGCATTACTGCATTACTACTCTTTACCTGAGGGCTGGGAGGAACATTGTATAACTTGATTTTCTATTGTGTTGTAAAGGACTGATGCCGTGCTGAGTCATCTGTCTTGATATTTACAGAGGGAGTGACAAATTACAAATGTAAATTTCAGAAGTTTTGATAAAACATTTCTTGTTGGTTAGAGGGAGAGAAAGATTATCAAGATGTGCAGTCACTTAACACATGACATCCAGACAAGGAGGGATTCTCGTAACATACCTGGGGCCCACACTTATCTATGCTTAACCAATCTTGCTTGCTGATTATCTCCAGGTGAATCCAAATAGTTGAGGTAAAGGATGAGAAGTGTTTTGTTGGAAACTGGTCTTAACTTTTAAGGTGGTCTTAACCAGGACATGGTTAAACAGGCTTTGTTTTAAGGCTTACAGGTTTCCCATGGTCATTTGTCTTTGCAATGAGAGTCTGCCATGCTCTGTTAGCTAAGAGCGCCTGTTACTAAATAATAAATGAAAGAAGACTGATTAATTCATCAGTACTATAGATGGGGCCCATCTGGTTGGGCACACCGCGGCTTTATGAATGGGTTTGACGTCTAACCACAGTCCTACCATGCGCTGAGGTCAGTCAGTCAGTGGAAACTATTAGTGGAATTTGTTCATTTCTATGAGGATTAGTGAGTTTTCTTATCAGTTGTGTGAAAACTTTGGCCTTGATGCTGACATTAACTTGAGAGGGGCGTCATTCAGATTGGTAATTGTTAAGGCTCATAAACAGGCTTTTGCACAGACAGTTAAAGTTAATTTCCCTAAAATTACACATCTTTCACAAAATGCTTGTTGGAATGTTTCTCTGCAGATCATATTTTTTCTTGCTTTGCAGTGGACCTACTGCTTGCAATGTAACTCCCCCCCAGTGTCACTAGACCTATTTATTCAGATGGTTTTGGTTGTAGTCAGGGCTTTTAGTTTCGTTTAGCTGGCTGCTCCATTTGGCAATGGTGTTTTTCCCCCTGTGTCGACTCCCTTTGTTGTCATTGTTGAGCTCTTTTGCCTTTAGCTGAAACCAAGACACTTTTCACAATATACAGACAAAAGCAGTCAGAGGGACACACTGGCTTTTGTAGCTTAAGGGTCAATGGTTTATTTGAAATCATGTCATTATTGCAGTTTTTAGTTGAGGCATTTGGACTTTGGGCAGATGTCTGTAATTTGTTCTCAACTGGTCGTCCGAGGATTTTCCAAGACACAGCTTTCTGTCCTCAATATCAACAATATGTGTTTTCCTCTGTCTGTATAGAGTTACTGCTGGTAACATTATCCTGGTTTGGTATGTAAGGTGTTGCTTTGTAACAGAGAGCATGTCCCCAGTTCCTGTTATGAGACTACACGACACAGAGCTTCACTGAGTCATTACCTCATTTATAAACCAAAAATCACCCAGTTTTCTATGCAAAAAGTGCACTGCAAAAAGTGTTGGTATGCTATGCTAATTTTGTCTGCAGCACATGACACTGCTGTTTGTAATTCTTGCTGTCATTTTAGTGTCGTGTAGCCATGCACCGAGCATGTTTGTAAACAGCATAGTAGTCGTGAGGACATGTGTAGTTGTCCTTAAGCCTAAATGGTAGTTATGCAAGTTCCATTACACTGATGACAAACTGTGACCCAACACTATAACCCTGCTTTTCATAGCAGTGCCTAAAGGTGTATTTTTGTCTGCATTTGCCTGAGCGTGTATGCATAAGCTAGAGTGGTATAATCCTGACAGTCAGTTACGTCAGGAGGCAGCGGCTATTTGTAGCTGTACTTACAATTATTCGCTCACACTGTCGACTGAGATTGTAGACCACTGCTTAATGTTGCTTAAGAAGGCTGCTAATCCTTCTAATTTCTTACAGGCACCTCAGATTAGACTGAGCGAGACAACGGGGGTTCAACTGTCTGAATTCTGACACACAACACGCACGCACGCATGCGCACACACACACACATTTAATGGCTGTGCTCATGCAGTGTGCTTCCCTCTCTTTGTTCTGATCAAGGTTAGGTTCTTAGTCACTTGGATCTTGTCCTCATTGAAACCCATTTCTCAAACACATTGCTTCTCTGTCTCTTAATAACCCTAATTACTCAGCGGAGCACTCTGCCAGTTCCCTGTCTGTTGGTGCAGCACTGTGTTGCACATTTTTGCACTTATTTGTGACATTTCCAATATTGAATTTGTAGCTGATGACATCAATGAAATTGTGATGTGTTATCATTCATGGTGACCCAGCTTGACCCTGTCCCATACAGAACAGAGCACTGAAACACACAGGGTTATTGTATTATTGAACCATTAAGGCAGGCCTGTTGAAAATGATTCTGTTTTGCTGACTCCCATCATCTTTTTGTAGTCCATTCATTTCTTTAATGACACGCCTCACAGTAATGTTGCCCATGGCAGTCCTAACCAAACGTTAGCCAGACCAATCACATGGAGCTGCCTTTGGCATAGTGATGCCAGCTGGATGAGTCAGCCCAGTGCATGGCATTAACACAAGCTGTGAACAGAAGAGCTGCAGTAACAGCCTTTACAGTCAAAGCTGCTACTTGCTGTCAGCATGAAATTAGGAGATAACCACAAGCAAGTTGAGGCCAGTTCATAGATAGATGTCAGTGAAGACAGTAGACTATCCAACAGTCCACAGTTCAGTGCAGTACATTTTAATACGTTTATAGAAATTGGAAAAACATAAGATGTAAGCGTCATGTAGAAATATTATCACATCATGGTTTGACTCAGATGATTTGAGTTGCTAAAGATGGATATGTACAGTTATCTTGTGGTTTTCCCCATGTGTCAGCATCACTGTGTCCGAAGGTGGGATGATGAATTCTCTCACTTCCTCTATCCTCTGTTAGTTGTCTGCTTATTGCATCCTTCCCCTCAGCACAACTGCTGACTCACACAGTGCTGTGCTCATCTTACCACTGTGCCAGCCCGCCAACCATGCACTCCACGCACAGTTTTCCCTTTAAGCACACCTTTCTTACCTCAGCACTATGGTAACATCAGTTTACATGTGTTAGTTTGGTAGATGCCACTTCCTTTCAGTCACTTCCTTCCTTTTCAGTCAAACTCATCAGCTGGCAGGATTATGAGATATCTGATCCGTCAGCTGAGGGACATTTGACTTGAAGACACTCAGAAATGATACTGGTACATCTCATGTTGCTGTCAAACAAGGAGTGTTTCTTTATTCCACTGGAGAATTTCAGCAACTGACAGTGACTGTAGTGAAAAGTGAAAATAACCATTTTAATATCACTTCACTTATGTGTTAACAGTATGTCAGCATGTATGGCGTTGCTGCCCTAATTCTCTGGATTACACTTTATTTAGTTGTACCTTTGACATGTGTATGTGCTCATATTTTCTCCTTCTCCATCTCTCTACTTATTTGCAGGAGGTTTTGCCATAGTGTTTTTGGTGCGGACTCATCAAGGTGTACGTTGTGCACTAAAAAGGATGTATGTCAACAATGAACACGATCTGCAAGTCTGCAAACTAGAGATACAGATTATGGTGAGTAAGACAGCCCAGTAACTGACTGCTGAGTGCAGCAAACTACAGTTTCATTTTGACTACCAGTAAATGGTTGTGCTGTTGAGCGTTCATGTTAACATGCAGTGAAATTAACAGCATCAGGAAAATTTAGCCAGTGTAATATAAATTATGACACACAAAGTATTACAGAATTGATATTGAAGTATTTGCTCAGATTTTTTAACTTTGTAGTCTGAATATGACCCTGAACGTTAGGCTTCTATGTACATCAAGTCAAAACACTGAAAGTTATTTTAAAAATACTCTTTGATCCAGGAATAGTGGTAGTTACTTACTGAAGGGAGCTTAAGGGCTTGATTGTAATTAATGTAATCTAAGCTCTCTTGCCTGTCCATTTCCTAACTGGAGTCCTTACTGGAAATGAAACTAACCAGTTCCTGCAGCCACACCCTGGGTGGCATGACTATCGCTGGATGGTTATCGTCATTACTTCCAGACCTTTGGCACAGAATCAGCGTCTCACTGCAGATAAAAATAGACTAGTAGTATAATAGTTCCAAATATGGCTGTTTTTTTTTGTAATTTACCAACCCAAATGTTTAAGGACCGTACAATCTTTGAAGACTTTATCTCCATTGTTTGTCATTGTTGCTTTCTCTGTGTTTGTTTACACAGAAGGACCTAGTGGGCAACAAACACATAGTTGGCTTCCTGGACTCCAGCATAGCTGCAGTTGGAGCTGGTGATGTGTGGGAAGTCCTGATTTTAATGGACTTCTGTCGAGGTAAATAGGCCCACCCCCCATGCCTTTCTGTCTCTGTTGAATTCAAAGCTCCATTACCCTCGGCTCCTCACAGCATCCTGTTCTGTTTCGAAGGCAAATATTCCAACGACAGCTATCACAGTCAATAGAAATTGTGTTTCAGTCAATACATTGCTAAGTGGTGTTATTTATAGGATGTTTAAGTATTAACATCACTGTGTGGCTGCTGAAGCTACCTCATAGAATAAAGATAAGATTCAAATGCATTTTCTACGTGCACCAATGGCAATGCAATGTAAAAGTAACCAATAACAGTAACAAAACAATTCTTTCATTTTCCTCACCTTTTTTAAAATGTTTAAATAATCAAGTTTTGCTGCATTGTTAAAAGCAAAGCAGTTGTAGTGGAGAATATATTAAACGTTGTTGTCCGCAGGCTGTTTGACAGCTTGCCGAAAACAAAACTGTGAGAAATAATTTGGCCAACCTTTTTCAGATCTGCCATATGAATTGATGTTTTCAAAATATGATAAACAATTATTTTAATTTAAGCTCTGTTTTTATTGGATATATAGATGTCAGCCCTTGTTATAACCATCTATTTAAAAAGGAAGTTACTGCATTTCTCAAAGATTCAAATGCAACAAAAAGAGGAAAAAAGTAGCTGGCTTTTAAGAATGAATCCTTTCCTTAAAGATACACAGTACACTTAAAATGGTCTCAGCGGACATTTATAGACTCTCAGTTGACCTATTTGTTTTATGCAGGTGGGCAGGTGGTTAACTTAATGAACCAGCGGTTACAGACAGGCTTCACTGAAGCTGAGGTGTTGCAGATCTTTTGTGACACGTGTGAGGCGGTCGCTCATCTCCACCACTGCAAGACTCCAATCATCCATCGAGATCTTAAGGCAAGTTTAATTCAATTCCCAGTGTAGTACTTGCTGCTTAAGGCGGGCTAATTGATGGCCAAACTAATTATTTGGAAGTAATTTATTGTGACAATGTTGTTCACCTCATGTTCAATCAGTCCTGACAGGTCTTTTCTTGTCTCCCTCACGTAGGTGGAAAATATTCTTCTGCATGACCGGGGACACTATGTGCTCTGTGATTTTGGAAGTGCCACCAACCGCTTCCAAAACCCTCAGACAGAGGGGGTGCCAGCCATAGAGGAGGAGATCAAGAAGTGAGTATTTTGGGCTCTTTACATCTTTGATCCTTTCTCATATTAAAATTCGGAAGCTCATTGGTCTGCTGTCAAACTAGGTACACTACTCTGTCGTACCGTGCTCCAGAGATGGTCAACCTCTACGGTGGAATGGTCATCACTACAAAGGCAGACATTTGGGTGAGAAACTAAGTCCATTACCTTTATGTTAGACTCTGCTGACTGTATGACCACATTAATTCACCATGATAAACACATGTGCATTAATAAGACGTGACATACCAGACACAGATTGACATTTACACAAAGTATGTTGATTGCTTTGTCTGTACAGGCCATGGGTTGTCTACTCTATAAGCTGTGCTACTTCACGCTTCCTTTTGGGGAGAGCCAAGTGGCTATCTGTGACGGAAGTTTCACTATCCCAGACAACTCCCGCTACTCCCAAGACATGCACTGTCTCATTAGTGAGTAATCCTGTTCCCCAGAAAACACACACTGTCCTATTTTTTGTGCAGCATGTGCATTCCATATATGTGCATTTGCTTTTTGAATGTGTATTTTCATATGTCTGACTCAAAATAAACACCCTTTGTTCTTTGATTTCTCAGGATACATGCTGGAACCTGACCCAGATAAGAGACCAGACGTCTACCAAATATCCTACTTTGCCTTTAAACTGGCTCGACGAGAGTGTCCAGTCCCAAATGTAAATGTAAGTCGTTATGGCAAGAGGAATGGCAGGACTTTGAGATGAAAATATGCTGTAGGTTTAGTGTTAAATATTGACAGTTAGGTCTTTTTATATAATAATAATTGGGGCCTTTTTATGTATGTCATGCACAGTGTTTCAGTTGTCATGTCACTTTCGAAGAAAGTAATCTAGAACATAATGATATTGGAGAGCTATACTTTATAGGCTTTGCCAGTTGGCTGCCCTCCATTAATCATGACCTTTTCTGATGTGCAAAGTAGCTCAGCAATTGATCTTGTGATTGAGCCAAATCTCTACGACCTTACCCCTTAAGTATTATTGAAGTGGGCAATAATGGTGCTTTCATAGAAGCTGCAAATCGATAGTGGAGTGTGGCTGTGACACTCAGTGTTGTAAGAAATTTAAGCTCTTTGGTTTGATTATCCTTGATCAAATAAAAATTGCAAATCCTCTTACTGTTGTAGAATTCACCCATTCCTGCAAAACTTCCTGAGCCCATCAGAGCCAGTGAAGCTGTGGCCAAAAAGAGTCAAACCAAAGCCAGGTGAGTGAAAAGCAAAACACTTAAGTGTTATCATTGTAAGAAATTTCTACATTACTAGCCAGTTTTCTCATTTCCTTCCATCAGGCTCACAGACCCCGTTCCTACCTTGGAAACCTCAATTGCACCTCGCCAACGACCCAAGGCTGGCCAGGCTCAGCCCCAGCCGATATCAGGCATCCTTCCCATCCAGCCAGCTCTCACTCCACGCAAGAGACCCAATGTGGCTGCTGGAGCACCACAGGCCATAGGTACAAGTAGCTCTGTGATGCCTCTATGTGTCAGAGTAAAGATCATTTCTAATAGAAATAAGGGCCTGTGTTTATGGAGACGATTATCCTATACTCAAAGTGACATCTTGTATTGAACTCAGCAAAGTGAACTGCTCGAGAATTAGACTCAAAACCCCATCAAGGGCCTGTGTTCCCAGGAGTCCAATAAGCCCATTCTTAAAAGGCTTTCAATTGTCCTTTTATGAGGCTTTTGACATTCACACTTTGGCAAGGCTATCCATCTGTGGCCCACTTGCAAACACAGAATAGATGGTGGCGTGATGTCACATTAATTACGGCAGCACACTCTTCGTGTTTTTTTAATGTGCAGCTCTAACTCACTCATACGCTGTGTCTACAAGGAGGTAGTGTTTGTTGTTTAAAATGTATAATGTGTTGAAATAAAAAAAGATAAGAAATACATGCATTCATTCTAAGAGTACAGTAGAGTATTTTCTTGCATTTATTTTTAGATAAAAGTGGAGATCAGGCCTTTCGTTACAGTGTGTGAAGAGTTTGTGCGCTGGACCGATTCTTCAGGTCACTAGAAATGTGGTTGCATTTTAAAGAGATACTTTTGATGTGATAAATGATCTATGTTGTCCTCATTCTACTTATTTCCCCCCCTTTTAGGTGTTGGTATTAATGTCCCACCTCCAGCCACAGCTGCTGTCCAGGCTGCTCAGCAGGCTCCTGCTGCACCACAGCCAGCTCAGACAGCCAACATGCAGCCACAGACTACACCGCAGCATCAGCACCTCCTCATGAAGCAGCAGCAAGCTTCAGGCTTCTTAAGCCCACAGAGTAACCAGCAGGTAGGCAGAACAAAAATAGAACTACATTTTGGACACGTTGAGAGTGTTTTAATCTCACACAGGGATACTGACGGATGATGTGTGACAATGCTGTGTACATGTGGTGACAAACTTTCAGGCAAACAACTCTAATTTTCAAATGAAAAAAACTGTATTTGAGGTTTTTGGGCAATTAATTCCAGAAAAAAAAACATTTTTAATAATGTGGGGCATAAATATTCCTTTATTCAGATAATATTCCTACTTCCTTTAGCTTGACTGCATCTCTGAAAACAGTAGACTGGTTACAGATTAGACCAATAACTGATGTGATACAGGTAGCGTACATGAGTCGTTTCTGTTCCTAGAAATGTTATCACAGTTGAAAAGCCCTGTATGTTGACCTGTGTAATGGACCAGCTGCAAAACACAGGGTACTTGGCAACACTAACATGATGTTGCCATTGTATTTATTTGATAAGCTATGGTTGACCACAATACAATGTCTGTTCAGCTACTCCTGCCATTCAAAATATCACTATTCCACAAACACAGATTGCTGTTTTGAACTGATAATGAGTCATAATCTTTAACATACAAACACATGCTGAGGGCCTGAATATTTGCTTGACCATAGCATCTGTTTATATCGAGGTTCAGACTGTAAAAATTCAGGGAATATGTTTTCTTATTCGTTTTAATTTAAGTATCTATAAATGCTCAGTGACATCGCTGATTTTTTTTTCTTGCCTGAACCAGCTTGTTTCTGGTTTAAAATGTTTTCTTCTTAGCAGTGTTGGTTGTCAGTATACTTATAATACCACATACATACAAAACTATTCATCACTGTTGTACTTTGTAGACAGAATCTGTGCTTTTGGGCACAAAAGACTTTTTATTATACACTAGTTTTAAACCTAAATATTGTGAATGAATCTCTTCTCACCCTCCCTCTTTAATTTCTGTCTCTCTGTGTCAGTCTCCCTCCCTCTTTATTATGTTATGTCATAATGTTTCATTATGTATTTTCAAAAAGGTAGAAAATGAACCCTGAAAAATCTGCTTTAAAAGGCTGCTCTTGTCAAAGAGCTGTAAATCATGACAGATGGTTCTTCCTCATGCTTAGCTGTGTGGTATTCCTATGTAGCATCACCTGATACAGAGCCTTCAGCAGCAGCAACAAGCAGCGTCTCAGGCGTCCACCCTGCTGCACTCCAAAGCTAAGCCTGTTCCTCCAGTTATTACCCTGCAACTGCAACACCAGCAGCAGCTGCATGTAGCCCCTGTCCACGAAACAACAGCTCCTCATCTAACAGCCATCCCTGAGTCTGCAGTCATTGGTCCTGCAGCTGACCCAGAGGTTGTGGTAACATCCTACTCCTGTTGCCACCTGCTGCTCTTTTTGGCCGGGGACTTGATTACCAGCTTCTTTCTAACCAATCACATTCACCAATCAAATATTTATTTTTCCTCTGCTGGGTCATGGGAGAGGCAGGAATGGTCTCACAGAATATGTTAAATGTGACAGCGTGAATGCCATGTAGCTAGAAATGCTTCCTTTAATGCCATCTTAGGATGACATCATTGCTGCAGATACTTTTCAAAGTCATGTGATAACCAAATCATTTAGTGTTGCACTCTGAACTGCTTCTTTCAACTATCAAAATTACTTTTTAGATTCACAAGGTGCACCTGTTTCTGTCTAATCTCTGTACTAGGAATACTTTCTTCCCTTTTTCGTAATAGTTTTTCCCTATTTTCTTGTGGTTGTAGTTTCAAGGACTTTAACATCCTTCTTCCTTTTCAGATCATCTTTTCCAGTGGATCTTTCTGGCTCTGTTTCTCTTCATGCACTAAACAGAAATTCTCTCTGTTGACATCAGGGACATTTTCATCTCATATTCCTCCCTCTGTTTCTTTTTCTTCTCCTTAATAGACGGCTAGCCGAGGGATTCAGAAGGTCGGCTCATTGACACCCCCCTCGTCGCCAAAGATGGCCGCTAAAAGTGGCCACAGACGCATATTGAGCGATGTCACTCACAGCGCCGTGTTCGGGGTCCCAGTCAGCAAGTCCACCCAGCTACTCCAGGCAGCCGCAGCTGAGGCGAGCCTCAACAAGTCCAAGTGAGCAGAATTAATTCCCCTCAGTGATCTGAGGATGAACCGTCCTTTCATGGCACCGAGTGAGCTGCAAGGGGCAATAGACAGTCCATTCATATGACAGAACCCCAAAGGAGGATAAACGACCCTTTTACATCCCAGAGAATCCAGCTTCAGAAGAATCACTCAATTCAGTCTTTAAATAACTCTGCTCACTCACTCTTATTTGCATACATCAGTAGGCCAGTGTCCACAGACTTCACACCCAGGATCAGATTTCACTGCGCTCTTACCTTTGTTTATGTTTACACCTCTATGTACTGCAGATCAGCCAGCACCACTCCTTCTGGCTCCCCCTGCTCATCCCAGCAGAGCGTGTACCATCCAGGTGATAACGACACCCAGTCAGCCCTCACTGCACCCAGTACTCAGCCTAGCTGGAACCCCTTTGGAGATGATAACTTCTCCAAGCTCACAGCAGAGGAGCTACTTAACAAAGACTTTGCAAAGCTAGCTGAGAGTAAGTGCAACTTTTCCACTGCATATTGCATACACCTGCAACACTGGTAAATAATTGTGTTATCCCAAAAATAATTGCTACTTTGCTTTTTCCTTGTGCACAGCTGCTGCACCGGATGAGAAGGTCACAGGCTCCAGTGAAAACCTCATTCCAGGGCTCAACACTTTCCCAGGTAAGTCTTTGCTGAATTCTTTTCAGCATGCCGTCTCATTGCTTTGCATATTTCATCTCCATGGAGGCTTTTCTTCAAGCCATTATTCTGGATTATGACCTCTGTATATGTTGCTGTCTTGGCGAATGTCTAGAGTTGTCATAAAAATTAGCTTATGTCTTCCCTATCCTCTAGTGCCACCCACTCTCTTCTTCTGTTGTTCGCGCTCTCATGCTTATTTATTTGTTCTTCTCCATCTTTAATCGTCTGTGCAATGTTAAGATGAAAGATCTGCAGACATCATGAGTGCAGGTTCAGTGTTGTTGACCGTCCCGGACCCCTTTAATAGCCTTTCCCTCTCGGACACCACAGGTAATTCTCCTGTCCACTACATGACACAGAACTAGCCGTGCCTTTGATACTCTCAGGCCTTAGACTCTTGAACAAATATATTCTTAGGGCTTATGAGTCACTTTTTTATTTACTGAAGTAGTTTCCTGGATATCAAACTTCCCAGAGGTTAGTTTATGAGTGCTAGTTGTGTGGTTTGGATTTGTACACATGGTCCTATCTTGTTGACACAGCAGGCAGCCTCACAGTGGCTCCTTGTCAGCTTCCATGAATAGAGGCCGTAGCTACAGCTAGATCGCATCTCATTTACAGATCTGTGCTTTCGCTGTTGCCTGGTAACACGAAGGACAAATTCTCCTTTGTTAATTGGATTGCCTTACTGCTGGAGGAGCCTGCTTAACCAGTGCCACTAAGAACAAGAGAAAGTTAAGCGTGCTGTCTTGTTAAAATGATGACCCACCCAGCCTTTTATGTTCTCCTTGGTTTAGCCTTTAGCTTTTTCTGAAGTGCATACTTGTTAGTCTTTGTGCAGTGGCTGTTTAAGGCCATAACTGAGAGGATAAAAATATTGAGGCTATTACATAATGAGGGTGTGGTTAATCTTCTCTACCCAGCCTAAGCTGCGTGCACACAAGCAAATACAGTCTGACTTCTCCTGATGAAGCAGAGAGGCATATCTGAGCAGCATGTAGGACAGGAGTGTCCAAACTTTTTTAATGGAGGCCAGATATTAAAAAATACTCTCATACAAATGAGACAAACTATTTCGTCTTTCAGTAAAAAAATAATTTAATTCTTCTCCGTCCCTGAAAGCTGCGGCCCTCACTGTTGACTTTACATGTCTTTGCTGTGGCCATGTTTGCTAACTAGCAGATAATTTCTGCTGCTAGGTAATCATTTGTTTGCTTGTTCACCATCTGTTTATGAAAATACATTAGTTCTGCCCACGTAGTTCCTACTTGCAGCATGTCTACAAACTGTATGATAGCACTGCCATTATGAGGTGAACAGAAAAAATGCAAAGTTAACTTGCTTGATTAACCAAAATTGAGTGGCGGGCCACATATAGCCCTGGTATATTTTGAGAGGCAAGCCACGGGCCACATTTGGCACTCCCACTGGACTTTGGACATGCCTGATTTAGGATAAAGACTGCCTTTTTGGAATTAAGTTAAACATATAACATGCTGTGCAGCATTTCTAACTTTACACATGTTTTCTGTTGACTTTAACTGGATTTAGCTTTGTGACATTTTGGATTTGTAAAAGGTTTTTCATCAGTGTTGGCCTCTTTCCAGTAGTGAAGGGGGCAAAAGGTCACATTTGCTGTGCCATTTTCTGAGCCAACACATTCCTTGCCCCCCCCCACCAACCCCCCACCCCATTTTGCCCCATAGCAGTTTCCTGTAAGTATGAGCTGCGGTGAAAAGTCAGTAGTTTGTCTATTAATGCATGGCCTGTATTTCAGCTTAACTCAATCAGTAATTGATTCTAATAATAGAGGTGCATAATTTTAAGAAAATATTTTTCATAATGAAGGTTTTGGTACAGTCAACTTCATGAAGATGTCTTCCACTCCTTTGTCTGCACCAGTCCAAAAATGAGCTGAGAGGTTTGGTATGTGGACAGTGACAGAGCACTGGGGCGATCTATGACTGCAGTGAAGAAACTCACTGATTGCTGTGACTTGTAGCTTGTTTTGAATAATCAAATCTTAATGTTTAAATTTGTACTTGAAGAGCATGAATGACTCAGTGTTTTTTCAGGTATCGTTTTGCACCATAATTCTACTGGTAGAGGCTAGTATTTCACTCAACTGACTGGTCTTGGTGTGTGCAGCTGTCGTGGACAGAACAAAATAAACTAACAATTTGATCATGGTAGTATGGTTTCATGCAAGCAACCTGATTTGCAAGACATGGGAACTTTAAATTACCTTAAAATGTTCGCATCATGTTTTTTGCCTCCTGAACTTATTTTGTCCCGAACAATGTAAGCCATGTAGGCAAGTGGTTGTTTACGGTATTATAAATATTAGTTAACTTTAATTATATTCATGGACTTTGTCAGTATGTAATATTTTCCCACATTACTAGAGCTTCATATCTCTTTAGTTTTTCTGCTCCTTTTTATTTGTATGCAAAATCCTCCCTCTTCACCTTTCTCTCTCTCTTGCCATCTGTCCATTACTTCTCTCCATCTTTTCTCTCTGGCTTGCTCACAGAGAAGCTGATTGAGGGACTGAAGTCCCCTGAAACTTCTCTGCTGCTCCCCGACCTCTTAACCCTGGCCAACCCCTTCAGTAGTTCTGCAGAGAGCTCCACCCATGGTACTAGCTCTGTTTTGGTCCCCTGCCTTGCCCTAAAATTCCCAGTCTGCTCTGCATGCATCTTCTTGCCTTCCTTCTCCTGTTTCACTCACGTGGTCATGATATCAGAAAGACACTCAGAGGAGTAACTCCTCCTCCTTCATCAGTTTTATCCTTACTAATCTTTTTTTCTTTTACATTACTAATAATGTCTTTGTATTACTGTCTTTTCCACTTGCTGTCACTCACTGTAGTGAAGGCAGACGTGTGTGTCGATTCACTGATTCCTGGTTTGGAAGCCCCCCAGGCCCAGCGGCACTCAGGCCAGCCAGAGTTCATCACTACCAGCATGTCAGGTTAGCATCCTGGACCACAGAATAGGAAATCTTAACATAATTCTTTGCAGGATATTCACCAAGAGTAATTGTTTCCAGTTGTGGTCATAAACCCCTTGTCCCTTGTTGATATCATCTTGACCTCAGGGTTTTTTACTGAGGGACTTATACAACTGCTGTCACACTTTGGTTAGGACAGCACAAACCAGTTTATCATTAACAGTCACCATGGTGCCAGATCCTGACACAAATGACAGCAAATCATGAATATGATAAATGAGTGATGACGTACAGTCATTACGTACCGTCATTGCATAGGCCACTGCAAGCTTCTTTGTCATCTCTGGATGACTTTGAACACGCACATAGGGCTGTCACCAGAACTCTCTATGAGCACGTATCTGTGATCTTAGTTGTTCAAAACTCTTTATTTCCATCATCCACTGTGCTCTCGGTTATTACACCTCTGTTTGACCGGCTCTTTTTATGTCCTCTCAATACAGCTTCTAATTCTGTACTTGTTTATTGGCACCTGACCGAAGAAAATTAGTGCCACCTACTGCTGATTTTGATGAACCAACTTCCAATATTTGCATAATGGTAGTGGGTGGAAAATTTACACGTTTTTGCTAATATTTTTAAAAAGTTGGTCAAAATTTGTGAAGCATTAGGGTGTATTCCTGGCAAGTGTGTAGGTTTTGGATTCATAGCTACTACTACTGAGTGTTAAAGTGTAGCTCCTGCCCCTGACCTTGCAGCATATTTTCAAGGGGATTTCCAACAGGATTTCTTTGATGCTGATGATTACTTGCTTTCAGGCATAAAACTGTCCTACTAACCAAATGCATTTTCCTCTGCTCTTTAAGTTAACAATCTTATTTTTATTGTGACCCTTGTCCCTCTGGCTTTGCTTCGTCCTGTCTCAGACTCTCTCACTGGGGAGGACTCTCTGCTGGGTTGCGATCTGTTATCTCATACTTCTCCTCTTGGGAACCAGTCTGTTTCTGCTCTCCCTTCCTCCTGCTCCTCTGCTCCTCCTGGCTCCGGCCCTGGATCCTGTCTGGAGGAGCTGCCGCCTGGTCAGACAGCTTCTGGTAAGACCTCTTTGCAGCACCCCTCAGCTAGCCTTATGTCTGCAGGGCGTTTTGGCCCGCGAAACCATCACAGACTACAGATCCTTACCAAAACAGGAGGGCCTGTTCAGACGTGATAAGGAAATGGAATTAGGCACGTTAAATGACGGCTTCACAGACCCTTGACTCATTTGTAGAAGAGCCAAAAGCCACCTGAAATGCATGGCTTTTAAATACTGTGACTGCCCTGGCTCCATCTATTTTTAATCTACTTGCATCCTCCTTTCTTTTTGCTCTTTTCTTTGGCTGAGTTAACTTCTTTTCCCCCCTCCATCATTCCTTCACTTCCTCTTCCTTCACCGCAGACTCTGCCTTCCTCATGTCGTGTGGGGAGAAGGGCAATGACGACGAGTTTGACCCTATTCCTGTGCTCATCTCCAAAAACTCAAACCAAGGTAAGGTTAACAGAAGCCCGAGATGAGCACACACACCTGCTGAAGCCCAGCCTATGAGCCACAAAGATGAATGCCTTAGCCCCTAATTCAGTTAGCATAGCTCATCCCTGTGACCGCTGATGTGAAGTCTTGTATGGGTGTGCTTGTACATTAAAGCTTTTTATCCCATCAAGCTCTCACATTAGTCGCCTTCCTCTCTTTTCTTTCTAATGTTACACTGCCAGTGATTCTCCACCTTGCAGGTGTTTGGCTCTTTGTAGTTTACCTTGAAAGTCTCCTCATGATAGAATGGCATTCCCTTACTCTCCCCCTGTAATGATGCAGCTGTGTAAAGATTACCCCAGCTCACTCTGCCTGTTTCTCTTGTCTTTCTGCCCCGTTCATGCACCTCTCTGCTCTGCCATCACTTTCCTTTCATCTCCATCAACTCCTAGCTCCTAATTTCTCCATACAACCTCTGTTAATACTTATTCTTTTGCTTGTTTTTCACAATCTCCCTCGGCTCTCTTTCCATGTCCATCTCTTTCTCTGTCTCTCTCTCTCTCTCTCTTTCTGGCACGTTTCAGGTGGTCACTCGCGCAGCAACAGTGGCAGTTCAGAGTCCAGCATCCCCAACTTGGCCCGATCCCTTCTGCTGGTGGATCAGCTCATCGACCTCTAGAGGGGGTGGGAGAGGTCGAAGGGGCAGTGTGCAATCCTAACAAAGGGACGGGGGGAGGGTGGGGCATAGAGATGGGGAAGCCGAGGCACTTAATGTAGCACCTCGTTAAGTAAAACAGAGGAGCCAGCATAGATCGGTTCAGTGGAACCTTTCTTTTATTGTGCCTCCTTGGCCTCGACTCCATCTCTAGTTGCCTGATAAGCTGGCTTCATTTATCTCTGCTGGCTGCAACATCCCCATGCTGGTAAAAATCTTTTCATTAACGCCTGAGCATATCGTCTGCTTCTGTCCCCGGCTACGCCATGGCCTTCCTCATGCTTTCCTCATACTCGCATTAATGTCCCTCACCGAGTGCACTGCCATGGTGATTGACTGTCATCGTATGCACACGTTAAACTGCTTGATTCACAGCTGTTCACTTTTGTTCAGGGTTGAAGCTTTATTTAAACCAGCCACCTTCAGGCATGCTCATTTGTGTCACGGGTCTGACTAAAAAGTGAGGAGTGAAAATGGTGCAGAGGATAATGTGCTGCACTTTCCTGTGAAAGCATTGAACTTAACTATTGACCAATCAAAGATGCACCCAGAGTGAACCACTGAGAGTGTTTGCACTGATTGAACCAGTTTGTAAACCAGTGAAGACAAAAATGTCAGCTGGAGGCTGATTACAGATTTCTCAAACTGGTGTTGTTTACTGAATTATTTCAAACAGGTTGCACCATCTTAGGAGGTCAGATCTGTGCTACTATTCCAATACGGATTGGTAGTCATGTTTTTAAGAGCTATTTATCAAAGCTAACTATGTATGAAGAGGAGCTTTAGCATAACTGTATATGGCCGCCTCCTTCTGGATGTTAAGCAGGGTATTAATTCTCTAATCTTGTAAATCTGTCTGTCGTGATGATGTCCTGAAATCCTGAAACTGGTGAAATCAGTGTTAACACAGCTGATAAATTCAGTTCCATTGCCATGGCAGGATACTTTCACCTTCAGCATTATCTACAAAACTTCCTAAGACCATTAATGGTATGTGTGCATTTTATAATGACATCTTTTTATGTGTAGGGTCATGAGCTCACCATCCTATCTTTTGACCCGTAATCAAGATAAGCACAGCAGAAACTAAAGGGAATCAAATTATTTGACCTGTTGCCATGCCAAAGCTAAGAGGAAAGATTTTATGATGATGCTGTGTTTGCCTTGTTTCAGTCTGCTCTCAGGGTCGGTGAGGTAGATTTTAGCAGCATACCATTGTTACAGAGAGAAAGGTACAGTGTAGATTTTGAGCTTTACTTGTAAGTCTCCCATTGCCATCCTCTCTGTATTACCTATCCAATCTGTTACTACCACATACGTTGAACACTGGGCTTATGTGTTCAGCCAGAGGAGAAATTCAGAAAACAAACTCCCTTATATGTACATAAAATCACTTTTAATTTTTGCTCTAGTTAGCACTGGTAAAAGTAGATTTGTGTGTGTGTGTGTGTGTGTGTGTGTGTGTGTGTAATATTTAAAGGCATTTCATCTATCATGGTATGAATAAATGTAACTATTATTGATAGCGCTTTAGAATGAATGTATGAACTGAGCACCATTATAAAATATGTAAAAATGAATAAGGAAATATATAGATAAAAAAAAAGTATTTGTGTACAAAGCTGTATTTAGGAGTGCAAAGATGTTGACCCTCTCCTCTGTCCAAAGTCCCTCTGTCTTTTCTCTTCATTCATGTCAAGCATTCAATTTTGGTTTTTGATGTCATCGTCACTGATACATGAAACAAAGTGCTTATGGCTTACCTGACTGGGTAGTATTTTTATCTCTCCACTGCAGTTCTTCACATGATACTGGTTCTTGTAAGTTACTGTATATTACTGAGAGAGATTTTATCTAACAGAAAAACAGAGCTAATGACGGAATTTACTTCCTGATATCTCTGTGGTGCCCCTCACCTCTGATAACTGTTGTCTTTCATTTGACTGAAGATGTTAAGACAGGCTTGAGTGACCTGAAAAACAGCTGTACAAGTTGTATTATATGTGATCAGTCATTACAACTGACTTTTCCTTCCACCTTTAAATGAATATTTCACCCCCAAATGATCATTTGTATATCAATTACTCACCCCGTCTTATGTTGAAGTGGACAAGAAAACTTTGTTTTTCTTGCATGCCTACACAGTGAACGGAGAATCCAAAAACTGAGAAAATTCTTAATGAATTGAAGTCATAGGGGACCATGTTTGAAAACATCATTTCCAAACTCTCAGACAACTCGTGTTGCATAATCCAAGTCTCATGTATCCAGTGGTATTCTCAGTACTTCCCAAACACAAGGATTTTTGCTTAAACCATCATATTTTTTATTTTCTTCCACATAAACAGCAATGTTTTAAATGTTTTGAATATTACAATTTTAGTGAAAATGCATGTGTTTGGGAAGTTCTGCTCATACAGCCAGATAAATGAGACTTGGATTATACTGCACAAGTTGTGCGAGAGTTTGTAAATGGGGTTTTGCTTGAGTTTTGCTGTTATGTAAATGAACAAGATTGTTTACCATTTTTTGGATTCTTCGGTCACAATGGAGACGTGAGAAAAACTATGTTTTCTTCTGAATTCAGCATGACACAGGGTGACTAGTTAATAAGCAAATATTCATCTGGGGGGCGAAATATTTCTTTAATGTAAAACAAAGTATTACCTTTAGTTTTTTCTCTAGCCAAGGAAGGCTCATTGGGCATAAGTCTCTTTGAAGGGCCCATATCACCTTAGATATGTACATAGAAACTGGAAACAGTACATTCCCTTTGACATGCCATCACTGGTTTATTTGCTTGAAGTTTGGGACGTAAGTAGTCCCCCCCCCCCCCCCACATTGTAAAGGTTAGTCATAGACATTGGCAACACTGTAAGAATTGGCATGGGTAACAAAAACTGTGCTTTCTTTTCTTTTTTTTTCCAGTTAAAAAGTCATTTGCATTTTTGTGGCTAATCTATGCAATCCTACAATAACGCTTCATGTTCTTATCAGACACTACAGCGCTGTATCCTGTAGAGTTCTCGCCTTGACCGTAGAGTTTTCCTTGTGTTGCTGTGTAAAACCAATGTACTTGTTGTGCTGGATGGGTTGATATAGTGGCTGGTACAGAAGTTACTTTGATTATATCAAAATGTTTGACTTGATTTGGCAGATGTCAAAGCAGGACCACTATGGAGTGTGTACTTCTATTTTTATGAATTAAGGTTCAGAAAGAGAGACACTGAATAAAACTCATAAATGAGAATGTAAATGAAGTCTCTGTGGGTCACATTATTTGACTTTCACTCGCAAGAGTGAAGGAGCCAGCTTGCTTTATTGACAATGTTAAGATTGAGTCTTCCATTTTCGTTGTTTTTATTCGCAGACAATGTAGATTGTAGATCCCCTCAGGCCTTTTTTGCTCAGATATCAGTATTTAAACCAGTATTTAGTGCGGAGCTTACCACTATGGGAATATGTTTGCATCTCTTAGTTCAAGCATCATCAGACACTTGTTTGTCTAACAACTTGCACTGGTGTTCTTTTGAGCTTTTCTCTGAAATTTAAAGGACTCTTCCAGTGTTTCCTAGGTTTTCTTTTTCATATTCCTCTTTCTTGTCACCCACTCGTATCTTAGTTGTTCTATGCTTCCTTGGTAGACATGTATTTTAAAATCGCATTACTGCACCAGTGTTTCTTTTTTGTTAGACTGTAGGCGACCACAGATGGATTGTATAGCCAATGAGCTATGTTATGAGGAATTGATGGCTGTTATGTCACATGATTACATGAGCAGTCTCACTGTTTGTCGTTTTGGTAGTCAGTCTGACCGGTGTTAGAATCTCTAGGTAATTTTACTCTGGTTCAAATCTTGTAGATAGGTGTATAATATACAGAACAAAAATGTAAACACAGCTCTTTTGTTTTTGCTCCTGTTTTTCACAGGTTAGAGTTAAAGATAAATCTCTGAGATTTTGGTCGCAAATCTGTTATATTTCCCTCTTAAAGCGCTTCTCCTTTTCCAAGATAATCTAGCCACCTGACAGGTGTGGCATATCAAGATGCTGATTAAACAGCATCATTACCACACAGGTGTGCCTTGGGGTGGTCACAATAAAGGCCACTCTAAAATGTACAGTTTGATCACACACACGCACAATGGCACAGATGTCGTAGTTTTGTGGAAGCGTGCCAGGCTGGTTGGATGTACTGCCAAATTCAGGGAAACAAGACTGGAGATGGCTGATAATAGTGAAATGAACATTCAGTTTACAGGCAACAGCTGCATTCCTGCAGTCTCGAAACTTGAGACATCTGTGGCATTGTGTGTGTGTGTGTGTGTGTGTGTGTGTGTGTGTGTGTGTGTGTGTGATCAAACTGCACATTTTAGAGTGGCCATTATTGTGACCATACCAAGGCATACCTGTGTAGTAATGATGCTGTTCAATCAGCATCTTGATATGTCAGGCGGCTAGATTATCCTGGAAAAGGGGAAGTGCTCACTAACACAGATTTTAATGTTTGTGTCAAATTTAAAAGAAAAACATCAGTGCACAAAAAAGTCTGAGATCTTTAACTTAAACCTGTGAAAAATGGGAGCTAAAACAAAAGTGTTGGGTTTACATTTTTGTTCAGTGTATATGAAACAGGCTGTGGATAATTTGAAACAGATAAGTGATAAAGGAAATTACCCAAGACGTAAAACAAACCAAAAGCTGGTGTCTCCCCTTAATGGCTCCAACTAACATCTTCCCAAGAGCTGCCAGTTAACAGCTGCTGTCAACACTGCTGAGGTAAGACTGATCTGTCTCTGCTCATCTGTGCAAACCTGTCTGTCCCTAATTACCTCCCACTTTTGCTGTGAAGGCTCTTTGTCCTTGTTTCCACAGACCTGTTGACTCCGTCTAAGCTTCCTTTACCTCAACACAATCAATTCTAACTAAAAGCAACATCGCTGTCTCCCCCCTAACACAAGGCGCTGTTTTTTCTGCAGCTGTGCAGAAACTAATTTGTGGAAACAAGGTTATTTGATGTTGTAATGATAGAGCTGGCCAGTCCTGTCTGTTGAATGTGACCTATTCAGAGTAGAATGTGTCTGTATCCTTGTAGTCATGTGCCGGTTTCTCACTGTTGGGTCGTTCTCATTGATTCTTCAGTGGTTACAGATGTTACAGCTGAGTCATTGGTCATATAGTAAGTCGTGTGTGACTGAGGTTTGATGGTCTGGTAGATAAGTGAACACCTGGACGTTAGATGATAAAGTTTCTTGTAACTATTTATACTGTAAAGTTTTTGTTCCCCTCTGATATGTTTTGCTTTATCTCTGCTCTCTAATACAGATGTGCAAGGGGAGAGTAATGGCTACTCTGTGCTCGGTGAGAGACAAGAGACTGAACCTCAAGAAGGAGATTCTCAAGCACATGAGGGATGCATGCACTCCAGCGATGAAGATGAGGAGGAGGAAGCCCATAAAGAGGAGCAGGAGAATGTGGTAGCCATTAAGAGTCATGCAGCAGCCCATGACAGCAGTGGTGCCAGACCTCTGCTGCTGGACTCTGAGGATGAAGAAGAACAAGGACCTCAGTTAGCCCTCCACTCATCACCGCACTCCAGCGCCGTACCAACACAACCATCTACTACCTTCCACCAACCTACTCCGAGCACCTTTTCTCAGAATCATTCCCAGCATGTACACGAACCAGCAAAAGGTGCAGATGTCGCTGCAGATGTCTTCTCAAAAGCCCCCTTTCGGATTGCGCAAGAAGAGCCGGCCGATGTGTTTGCTAACGCTCCGTTTCCACGCGGCCCCCTCGCAGCTCCACAGCAGTTTGATGTATTCTCTCAGGCTCCCTTTGGAAAAAGAAAGGAGGCTATGGGAGGTCAGCTCTCGTATCCTCATGCAGCTGGAGTTCATGCTGTTACCCCTGATCAAGGTGTGTTGGGACAAGTTGCCCAGCAACCATTCCGCCCACAAGCTCTGGCCAAATAATCCCGACACTTTGAGGGACCTGTGCCCCAGCAGCCAGTAGCAGCTCATCGAGTAGTGTCTAATGTGAGCAGGCAAGCCGCTGTGGCATCAGTCCCCGTTGGACCTCTTCACTCATGGACCTCAGAAGTGGGCGCTGTAGACCCTTTCGTCTCTGCACCATTTCACCTCAAGGCCCCGCAAGAAAAGCCCTGAACACACACTCAGCGGTCAGGGCAGTGGGTATCAGCGCTCATCACTGAATTATGCAAACTCTAACAGGCATACTGCATGCTGTCACCAGCGCCGCAGCTGGACTGCAGGCCTGCACGGATCTCATTCTTAACTGGCTCCAATTAGTGATAGTGCAACGTCATCTTTACACTTGAATGCTCAGTTAGATTTAAAAAAAATGACATCATTTCCTGACTCCTAGTAGCTTTTTATTTTTTCTGTCACATCCTTTTACTTTTCGAATTGTCTTCAATCCTTTTGGTACGTACATCTACACAGAGACAATATGGTGGTCAAACATTTGATTGTTTTCTTGCCTACCTCAGTTACTTTTTGTGTCAGCACGGAAACACCACACAGTGAGGGAGTACAATGATTGTGTGCAGCTTTAGCTGTTTCATTTCCTGTATATTTGAGCTTTACTGTGAAATTATGATCTGGTGACTGCGGAAGCCGAGGACGGCTGTGCATGCACTTATTTTTTAATGCCAATTTATCAAGATCGTAAGTTAATTACGGGTTTAATTATGTTGATTCTTAAAAAAAACAAATGGAAGATTCCTGGAGATAACAAGATGATTTGTCACAAGAAAACTAGTTTTATTTTCTCAAGTTCATGGGATAATTACTGAGAACTTGAAAATGAGGGACTGGGTTATTTGATCCCAACTAATTTCAGGCTTCATGAACAGCTGTCATGGTTTAAATCAGTTGCTACAGTTGTCAAGATGCTATCTGTACATGTCAGCATGGCACTCCTGATCTTTGATAAACATTTTAAGTAATAAGAGGACACAACCGTTTGTTTTCTTGTGGTAACAGGTTGATCTTCTCGTTATCTCAAGATAGCAAAGCTCATTTTCTCAAAATAATAAAATAATGAACTTGTGATCTTGAGATAACCACATTAAAACATTTCAAGCATGGCCGTTCTTGGATTTCGTCTGTAATGCCTCATTCCTTCCTTATGTTAGTTCTCAAAATTGTGCGATGTAGCTTGAATCACAAGATCATAACTTCACAGAAGCTCAGAGGAGGAAACGACACTGTAAAGATATTTCAGAGGCATTTATCTGTTGTTACATCAAACGAGCAATTTGTTAACAACCTTACAATTATGCCCTCAGAGTCAGTACTTTTGGGCGCTTTGGGTTTTATGCTTGACAGTTTGTTCTGACGCAGATGCTGGATAATGATGCATAAACATTTCAAGGACAACGTGTTGATGTGAAATGTAACTTTTTGTTGTTTCATTCCAAAATGTTTTGCATTTTGTCATGTATTATCCGTGTGGTCACTGTCCTGTCTGATGAAAATGGAATATCAGTGTTTATTCCATGAAACGTACGAGTCGTGTTTAAATAGAAAATACATTATAGTGGTTCCTATGTTAGATAAATGTAGAAGACTTTTCTTTGTATCTAATTACGCTACAAGATGATCTCTCAGAAGCCTTATGCTCTTACAGTACATCCCTCCGACCACATCGAACAGCATCAATCACTTTTGCCTTCTGTGCCCTCCTTAAGAAATCTGCTGCATTGATTATTTTATTGCACTGGCATTCAGCACCAAATACGTGTGTACAATCGTGTACAACTTCCTTTTGCTGTCTGCAGTATGCTAATGCACCATCCAACTCTATAATGCATCTCTGTGGTAGGTCTCTATAAACTCCAACTGTGTACTGACTGTGACTCACACGTACAAACAACTGACGTGAAAACCTAAACTGCAACTTAAATAAAAGCTTTCCTGCAGTCACAAATATCTACAGCACTTATGCTTCGCAGTTCCAGTCAGGGATTGTAATAGTAGTATCTTGTAAGTGACATCTTGAATGGTGACTGATTGATGACATTCCTTTTGAGTTTATTTCCATTGCCATTTGTGAATATTTTATTATCCTTGTGCTCTGTAAAATCTTGGAACACTTTTTGGTTCCCATCGTGGCACTTTTTAGAAAGGGGATCCAACCTGTCTCAGCCCAAAGTTTAATTCATGTATTCCTCTGTTGCAATGTAAAATCCTTTTTTTTATATATATATAAATGCTCACTTTCCTCACCCACCTTGTATACATGAAGATTGCACATCGTCACTGACACAGAGTCAGGGTTCCCTAAGAATGCGTTATGATTGTAACACAGCTGTATAATGTATTTCAACAAGTGTTGTATAGGAAATCTTTGGAGGATTCGACAACTGGTGATCCTGTTGGACAAAAAAAAGCACTCGAAATACTTATTATGCTGCACAGCCTGCCTTTGAAAACTATGTTGTATGTCATAAAAACTATTAAATGAATGTAAATCACATTTTTTGCAGTTTTTTATCATCACTATACGTACACTGAAGCACTGTATGAGACACTTTTGATTTCGGAATTTCTATTTTACACCAGCTTATCGCTGTAAAAAACTGTTTTACTCCAACATATTTATCTAAAAGAAGGGCTGAGGGTACGCAAAAAAGGTGATATTGCAGTACTGATTGAGATATGAGTCATGATTTTAATGGGATGTAATTCTTGCATTTTATTTTTACTAAAGAAAAGATGAAGATTTGGTTTTTGCCAGGGTCTGTACCAAATGTTTTGAATATGATTTATTGGCTGGGGCATCTCTGTAGCACCATGATGCTTCATATACAATGGTATATTGTGACACATTTGACCTTTATCAAGAAATTGCAGCTCCTGCAATTTGGATATTTCATTTGGCCATATTGCTATTTTGATAAATTGTGCAGCCCTGTCTAAAAAGTATTTACCATGCTTTGCAGATTTCAATTTTACATACAAAACCGCTTCACCCAGACCAACTACACAGACTAAATACTGCTAATATGTTAGTGCCATCAACAATAATGATCCAGTCTGACAATATAACATAAACTGACCCAATTTGCTGCATCAACAACTTGAACTTTTCATACAGAGGGTAGTACATTTTGATCAACACTATGCTTTTACTTTGAAATATAGCTAGCTTTACTGTTACATAAACCACACTGAAAAGGTTTATTTTCAGTGGTTGATGCTTTGATTCATGCTAAGATAAAAACAAATAAATGTATTCAAGTCTAAAAATCTTTATGACGCCAAAAAATAGTATTACAGAGATGAACCAGAAACGTTTTTAGATGTTTTGTTGTTGTTTTCAGTGTTAGTTCAGTGATACTTCGCTAGAGGGCGCTAACACACTGACACACCGGATGTCAGCCGCCATTACAGTAAGAAGAAGAAGAGCGGGCGTTTTCGTGTCTTGTTATCGTTTTACATTTTAACGACATTATTTACAAAGTATGCGGTGAGAAGTAAGTGATAACCATTACAGAACCTGTAATAAAATATATTTATGTAGTATTACATCTATAAAAACTACGTCAGCTAACGTTACACGGTTTTCTCGTAAGTTTATTTTGTGAAAGCACGCGCCTTTTCATGCTAGCTACGTTAACGTTAGTTGTTTGCTAATCACTAACGTTGTGATGCCTTCACCGTTTTATCCCAAACTTCATTAGCTAAACGGATTTCTCTGTGTGTTTAACTTACTGTGAACAGGTAACACGCTGTGTGTGTTTTCCTGAGCACGATGGCGACCCAGAGAGTGCTCCCTCAGAGCAAAGAGACTCTGCTACAGAACTACAACAAGAGGCTGAAAGATGACATCAGGTCCATCCTGGACAACTTCACAGAGATTATCAAAACAGCAAAGGTACATAAATACGGCACCACTTGAGTTTTATGTTCATTACTATCAATGGGAGGCAGGAAATATTACAGCATAATTACTTCTCACTAGTATCAGCATCACTCCAATCCCCTGTCCTGTCCTGTCTCTTCACATTGTTCCTCTTTGTCCTCCAAATATTTGAGTATCTGTGATATTTCTCTCGCTGTTTTTTTTCTCCAGATAGAGGATGAGACACAGGTTTCCAGGGCAACCCAAGCAGAGCAGGACCATTATGAGATGCACGTCAGAGCAGCAAACATTGTAAGCATTGCTAAAAAGGCATCCAGCTAGTATTGTATTTAGTAGGGAGAGGGGAAGATGAGAGAGGAGCACAGGAAAGGTCACTTCAATCTGCTTCTGATTAACTTTGAGTATTAATTTAACATTGTCATGTTAGTTTGAGTAAATTTTTTTAGCCTTGCTGCTTTCTGAAATGATACATAAAGCACACACACAAGATCCCTTACAGCCAACAGTTCATCACAGCCCTCAGCTGTAGGGTTTAAAAATCATTTCACTCAACACTGTCTGACAGTATTACATGTGACTTATCTATTGACTTCATATATGATGTCTATAGTGAGAAAAATTTTCCAACCTTATGTTTTATAGCTGTATCATTCTTTTGAATTGAAATACTGGGGCGTTGGTGGCTTAGTGGGTAGAGCAGGTGCCCCATGTACAAGGCTGTTGCCGCAGCGGCCCAGATTTCAGTCCAGCCTGTGGCCCTTTGCTGCATGTCATCCTCCCTCTCTCTCTCCCCCTTTCAAACTTACCTGTCCTGTCCATTAAAAAAGGCAAAAATGCCCTAAAAAATATCTTCAAATAAAGAAATACTGTAGATGTGCATCATTTATATGAACTCCCCAAAGTTCAGCCTAGTATTTTTGGTATCTTTGTGAAGTTTGAGATCTCCACTAGAATTTAAAGTTAGGTTTAAGTACAGTACAACTGCACGACACAAATTTGTGCTTGCTGACCACCTTGAAGCCCTGAGCGGTTTAGGATAAAGTGACATGCGTCACAGTCAGGTGACTGGATTGTTAGGCTTTCTGTGAGGAGCGGTTACTTTGAAAATGGTCATTCATTCACACATTTCCCCTCTCTTCTGTTGTGTCAGGTACGAGCTGGTGAGTCCCTCATGAAGCTGGTGTCCGATCTGAAGCAGTTCCTGATTCTGAACGACTTTCCCTCGGTGAACGATGCCATCAGCCTCCAGAACCAGCACCTCCGCTCGCTGCAGGAGGAGTGTGACAAGAAGCTCACCTCGCTCCGTGACGAGATCGCCATCGACCTGTATGAGCTAGAGGAAGAATATTACTCCTCCAGGTACAAGTAGGCTCATACTTGCCCCCCATCCCACCGCCATCTAAACCTCTTGGGTTGAATTTATCTCATCGTCACATCCATACGGTACCATTCATCAACACAGATCATTGCTAAAGGTCGTTGTGATGAAGATCATCTCACTAAGTGACGTTCTTATTGATTAGTAAGTGCCTTGACGTTTTTTCTGCTCTGTGGCATGTGTCATATTTGGTCAAAGTACAGAGGACTTCAGCAGGACTGCAGGTATACGACTGAATATTAGCTTTAGCTGTGAACTACTGCAGCTCAACATGTGTTTAAGAGCCTTCAATGCAGTTTACAGATGCAGTTTGAAAGCCAGATGGCTTTTCTGGCGACAAGGATAAATTTCCATAAATTCAGAACCGAAAGCCTCAGCGTTGATCCACTTCTGGGTTAATTTCTAAATGGCTATCAGACTTTTGGTTTCCTCGTCTGCAGCGTCCATTAGGCTTTAGAGTTTTTATCAAATATTGTCATGCACATTGGAGAGATGCATGGTTTGGTGGAATTTCAGTAATGTGGCCTTTGCTCCTAGTTTAGTTACTATAATATTTTAAATTGAAGTAATGACCAGAGTTCATTAAACCCCATGTAGGCAACCTCTTTTATTCTAAAAGAGGTTGCCTACACAGTTAAAGAACTATTTCAGAATAAAGATTTTATAGATGTATCATTCATTTTTATTGAAGATTATTTATATGTAATACTTAAATCATGAAATGAAATAATGATGACCTATATAGTAGATTTTAAAGATAGAGTTTGGATGAATGTTTGGCATGAACTGTAAAATTAGACATGACTATTTGCTGTTATTTATTCAAGGTGAAATCTGGAACTACTGAGAGTTTTTCAAGTAGACATTTTCTCCCTGTAAGAGCGATTTAGGTACCATAATCATTTTGAATTGATTCCGTCCTTAAGACCACAAGTAACTCGAGCTGTAATCATGCGAGTGGTGTTAATCACACATGGTGTGGTTGTACTTGTGTACCAGATTGTGCCAGCTGTTCCAGCAGACCCAGAATGATTAAGAAATAAAGTAGAGACAAAACACTGTAGTAGTTTGTCTTGTTTTCTGTGAGAAAGTACTAAGGAGTGTCTCTCAGTCTTGTTTGGAGCATGCTGGGTGTGGGCTTTCCTTCTTCACTGCACTCACTCTGCTTTCTCCTCCACCAGCAACTAATCATTCTTTCTGCTGTGGGGTTGTACAAAGTTCTTATCCAATGTCTGTGTATTACCAACAGTAGATGGCAGTCGGCATGCCCCCAATTTGGCAGGTAGGAGTACCACCACGGAAATGAAGGACAGAGGGCAGCAGCAAAACCTATTTTAGCCACCTGAATATTTGGAATATTTCCACCACTTTACCTTGCTGTTAGATAGCATTTTCCATCAGGGAACTGAAGCCGTTATATCAATCTGTGCTCTCCTCAAAGCACTGATTGTGTTATTATGTGACTTTGGATTTTTAAAGGGTTCGTTCAGATTCATCACAGTCACGCAATAACACAGACAAACTGATTGAGACAGCAGTAGACCAGCAGCTCCAGTATTCTGTGAAGTAAAATTACTGTTTTTGACAATGGAGTCTGGTGGCTTTGAGGAGAGCATAGATAATGGCTTTAGTTCCCTGTTAGAAAGGGCTGTTTGACGGCAAGGTAAAGTTGCCATAACAAGCTAAATATGCTGACACTTAAATGATATTGATTTTTTTAGGTGGCTAAAATATGTTTTGCTGCTGCTCCCGTCCACAGCAGTACATTGTTCAGCTTCTATGACAGTACTCCTGTCTGCTCCTTCAAACTGGGGCATGCTGAGTACCTCATACAACCCCACAGCAGAAAATCCAAACGATTCCTTTAAAATCATCAGTCAATACATCACACCTCTGACGACAGTATCTAGTTAATAAACAGCTGTTCTAGGTGTTGATCTAGCCTCCATTGCTTCTGCATAACCTCCACGCTTCTATCGTACGTGCGCCTTCTCATGTGCTCCTCTACGTGTATGAATGTGCTTATTCTGACCTGCCGCTCTCGTCTGCTCCTCTCTTTCTGTGCTGCGCTGATTCTTTGCCTCCTACTGGTTTCTGCTCTGCAAAGCTACAGTCAGTGGGACAGCACTGATCTGCCACTGTGTGAGGCCTACCGCCGACGAGACAGTTGGGCCTCCCCAGGCAGCAGCTGCAGCTCTACGCAGGGAGACCGGGAGGATGTGGAAGGGCCTCCTTCTCAGGAGACAAACCCCCAACACCACCTCAACGGACATGGGACGTCCTCCATAGAGAAACCATGAGGAGAGAAGCCGACGCTGATAGAAACGCCTGTGCTGTTTGTACTAATGTGGTTTGGCTGATTTAGTTTCCATTACACATTTTGAACTAGTGTCTGACTACTGTAACATGTCATGGACTGAAACTTGGCACTGAGGATTTCTCTTGACAGACAGGTATTATGAGCAAGAAATACCTTAAAGTCACCGTAATCAGAAAAATGACCTGTACAGTGTATAAGACGTAACATTCCCCTCAGTTTAAACAACTTTTTTCTTAAATTAATTCATAAATTTGCATACACTGACTTACATACTGTATATACAATGCTGAAGTAAAGGAAGTAGACAGCTTTATGAATTTGAAGTGTACCTTTGCAGTATTTCATTGCCAGTACACATTTTTTTATATTTTCATGCTGGACTTGGCTCAAGTGTTGAATGAGTGTGTTCTTACATTTATTTTGTAATGTTTTTTTTACTACTCTAAACACTGGACACATTAAAGAACAACTTAAAGCTTGTGGTTTTGTTTTTTTAATTTTCTGAAAGCCATAAGACATAATTCTACAACAAACAGTCAACATTTAATGATGGACTAAAAAGCAAATCTACCACTTAAATAATTAAACACTTGTTAAAGGGGTAGTTAACCCCAAAATCTAAAATGCATATATTCCCCCTTACCTGTAATGCTATTTATCAGTCTAGTTTGTTCTGGTGTGAGCTGTTGAGTGTTGGAGATATCAGCTGTAGAGATGTCTGTCTTCTCTCCAATATAATGGAACTAGATGGCACTCAGCTTGTGGTGCTCAAAGCACCAAAAAATAGATTTGAAAAACTCAACAGCAATGTCTCTTTCCAGAAACTATGACCCAGTTACTGAAGAAAATCCACAGACCTTGTTGTGAGCAGTTTCATGTAGGAACTACTTCCTTCCTACGGAACTACACCTGCCAAACATCACAGCACAGAAGGAAGAGTGCATCTCCTCTCAGAAAAGAGGCTTGTGCTCATGACAGCTTGAGATGTAAACATTAATGGTGTCCTCCTCGGCTGAGCTGCAACATTAGCTAACTCAGTGGTGCTACGTGAACAAGCAGTCCATGCACTCTTCCTTCTGCACGGTCAAACGGTTGACAGTTCTTACAGGAAAATGCTACCACTACACCACAGGTTCCATTATCTTGGAGAGAAGGCAGATGGCCAATATCTTCAGCCCTCTGCAACTCACACCAAAACAATCTAGAGTGATAAACAGCACTAAAGGTGAGAGGAAAATGTGTTTTTGATTTTTGGGAAGAACTGTCCCTTTAAGGTATTCCTGTATTCCTTGACTGGTCCTTGGTTATCAGACAATCCTGAGCCATAAAAGCCACATGGTTTCCTCGATGATGAAGAACGCACCACAGAGCAAATGTTCTGTATACAGAAAACCACAAGGAGCTTTTTAAAATATGTACAAAATACTACACTGAAGGGTCTTGGTATTCCTCCAATCAATAGCTGTGGGAGAGAAGCAGTCTGCAAATCTTCGTGGCTCAGCTGGAGGCTTCAATCCTCATGAGTAACTCATTCTTAAAAAAAGTATCCAGCTCCTCAATATCGTCGGTTCATCTTCTTGAACTTCTCATAATGGTAGTCATCTGTGGCTTTTTCGTTGTTTGGACGTTTGCGGTAGTTTGGTGGTGACGAAGCTGTGGAGTAACAGAAGAAGGTATAAATCAGATTATAGGTTTCAGAAAAGCGGTAAGAAGCTGTTAAACTGCTTGTATTAACAATATTCCAAATTAGGTCACCAATGCTAGACAGTTTATACAAACAAGTACAACTTTAAATGCTCCTGTTTCAGTGTGCTTGCAAGAAACAGTCTCTTACCCTCTGGACCTGGTTTCTCAGTGTCTCCCACACGCAGTGGCCTGGCCTTGGGCTCCTCTCTGTGTCTGTGGTGCCTCTGTGGTGCGTTCACATCCTCATGATAGACTGAGAAAAGACATTACGTATTAAACCAACCATCCACCTCTCATGCCCTTCTCAAATCCTAGTGTTTACAGATCAAAAGCACTCACAGCGGTTGTGTTGGACGTAGTTAACAGCGATGTTGGTGGGTACAAAAGATGTGCCGTGGTCTTTTTTCTTGTTCCTCTGTTCTGCCAGAAGCTTGGCTTTTGCATCCTCTGTCTGGATAATGTTCTTTATCTTTGCACTGGGAAGGAAATCACAGGAACAGGCTGTCACTAACAGAGCTGTATCAGGTCTGTCAGCTAATTACTGCCATGTCTCAATACAGAATATCTCCCATATAGATTTAAGAAAAAAAAAATAAGACTACTGTTGAAGACTCCAAAAAATAAATCTATAAGATCATTTAAAGAATCTCCTATACGTACTCAATACCAAGATCGACTTCAGGGATCCCGCTCAGCATCTGATTGGACAACATCTCCTCTGTCTTCTTGGCAGAATTGACTCGGATGCTCTCAGGCAGCTCATACAGGTGATCTTCTGCATTCTTCACCTTAACTTTCTGTTCCTCTGCCTCCACCAAGCCCTTCTTCTTCTTCAGCTCTGTCTCAATGTATTTCATCCTGTGAGGGTAGATTTATGAACGAAATCAGGTTTTAAAATATTTCTGTGATGCACTTAATGAACCACTGTGTGAATATCCAACTGTGTCCTAAATGTTGGCGAACAAAGGCAGAAAATTCACAAATCTTTCAACTAAATATACTGACCCAAGTCATGCATGTTTGCCCTCCACATTTAGATAAAGCAGGTGTTGAATACTGCTGTCCAAATTGTGGATTAACTCATGCAAACAAATGAAGAAGTAGGTGCTCTGGTTGAGGTGGTGATTGGAATTAACTTGTTCACCTAAGTCTGACCAGTGTGTGCCCCCGGACTTCAGTCAGCACTCTCTGAATGCCAAAAAGATTGAGGTTGTGTGTGTGTGTGTGTGTGTGTGTGTGTGTGTGTGTCAAAAGTGTGAAAAAAAAAAAAGCTGACATACATGTCTGCATCCTCGTCTCTTCTGTTAGTTTCAGCAGAAAAGGAGGTGCCCAGGTTCAGATCCGTCTCCTCTTCAGTCCTGCATATGGAAAAGAGGTAATCTCAAGTTAAATCAGTGTCATATGAGATTATGCACATTGTTCATGTTGTAATGGCACACTAGTACAAACACAAAATGTTAATTACACTGCATCAAAATGATTAAAGCAGTCACAGATTTACTTACATGTCCCTATTCCTGTCTTTGACTTTCTTCATGTCTACAACGCCTCCAGTCTTCAGTTTAAAAGGATCATTCTGTTAGAGAAAATTTATTTTAATAACAAAATATTAAGCAAATAGAAAATTAAACACACATATGCTGGTTAATCAAAACAGGTAACATTTCTAAAAGGTTGCTTACATCAATTTCAGCCTCTGGTGGCAGTTTCTCCCCGACCAACAGGGCTGTCACACTGAACAAAAGAGAAATACGAAGGTCAATTTGTGACTCATATATTATGATGTTGTTCATTAGATTTTAGGTATAAAAACATGTTCATAGTTTGAGAAACAGCATTAATTATGTTAGGGACTGTTCATTATTTATGAGAGGGGACGGGGTGGTGCAAAAATGGGGGAGACACGTCAAATATTTTTTAAGCACTGGGGAAGAAAAAATTGCCAAATTACACCATTTATCACAGCCAGAAACTGTAAAAACAGAATTTGTTGTTAGATTTTCATATTTCCGACCATCCCTGAACACATTATGTGGGACGAATACTTCTGTCAGAATAAAAAACAACCAAATCTGAGCTCAACATAATGACATGTTATTGAAATCACTTTATTCCATGTCTCATTTCAAATTTTGCCAAAAATAAACCATTTGAACTAACCAGCCAGCGTGCTCGACAAGAGTGATAAACTGAGGCTTTCTTCAACTCCATAATTTCATCTTTGACTTTTAACTTTCACACATCAAAGGGTAAGTTCTTAGGATCTAACAATTAATTTATTGTAGAGGGAGGGTGTTGCATTTTCCCATAGTCACTCAGGAAGGCTCAAAGAAATGTATTTGTAAGTTTGGGGAGCGTCAAAAAAGGTCACACCCCAGCTACCCCTCGTCTGATAAGAAAGAACAGTCCCTTATATTCACGTTACCTGACTCCGGTCTGTCGTTTCCGTAAACTCTGAAGCTCTTTAGCCTCCTCCACTTTAGATCTAAACGACCAGGAAATAACGTGATGTTAGGTAAAAATACAACTTCAAATTAAAAAAACAAAGTCTGTTAATAAATATGTAATTTTTAACTTGATTTTAACTGATGGGGCAATTAGCTACGTTAGCTAGCATAACGTTAACGTAGCTAACGCTAGTATTTTTGTTCATGTCGTAGAGTTTTAATAAAGCTACTTAACGCTACCTGACTTCTTCGGTTGTCTCATCCTCCTCTACATCTGACGAGTCCTTTCTCCGCCTAAAGTTTCTGCCACACGGCATTTTTAATGCAGCTTGATAATGTTATTTCTTAGCTTTAGCACGACTACGTTTGACGATAGCAGATGGTTTGATTTCGAGGGGGTGAACTTTAACAGACGTACAACAATAGTGCGTCACTTCCACATATGTAATAGACAACTTCCGGTTTTAGGTAATCATAACAAACATGGCGTCGTGCAGGCAGGTCGGCAGGTTGTTGGGTGTTTCAGCATGGCTTTCGCGTCCGTAAGTTTATCTGTTTGTCAGTCGTGAAAGTGCAATGTCATTTAGCTTTTTTTTAATGCTTGTACGATTGCATTGACCCCTCAAGTACCAGGGTCTGGCTGACGTAAACTATTAGCGGCTAACTAGCGAGCTAAGTTCCAAAGTGACGCAGAATAGTTATTAGGCTATGTGCCAGAGCAGCATGATATAATGAACGTTATTGTACTGTGTTAGCTCTTAAGATCAGAGTGAGTAAATAAAGCTTTTTTGACACCTCGGAGAGAAATGACTCTTAAATGTCGTGCTTCAAATAATTCTTTACAAGTCTAACAAGATTAAGTGTACAGATAAAGACAGCTCTTCAAGTTGTGATCTTTGTTCGCATCACTTGGACACTGTAACGTTAATGTTATCTAAGCAAAGCTGCTTTATGTCTGTCATATTTCATGGGGACTGTGGGTGAATTGCAAGACAAATACACGAGTGGGTGGACTTCTTGACTCTAACTGGACTCTTCAGTACAGCTTTGATTTTGTGTTTGGACTCCTTTTGTTGAAAATGAAACTTTCTTGCGAGTCACAGTTCTCTGTGACTTCTAAAAGTGTCTTTTCCTAAGTTGGACAGAAGGGTGGATTCAGGAACAATTTAAATTGGTCACATATACAGTACAGGCCAAAAGTTTGGACACACCTTCTCATTCAATGCGTTTTCTTTATTTTCATGACTATTTACATTGTAGATTCTCACTGAAGGCATCAAAACTATGAATGAACACATGTGGAGTTATGTACTTAACAAAAAAAGGTGAAATAACTGAAAACATGTTTTATATTCTAGTTTCTTCAAAATAGCCACCCTTTGCTCTGATTACTGCTTTGCACACTCTTGGCATTCTCTCCATGAGCTTCAAGAGGTAGTCACCTGAAATGGTTTCCACTTCACAGGTATGTCTTATCAGGGTTAATTAGTGGAATTTCTTGCTTTATCAATGGGGTTGGGACCATCAGTTGTGTTGTGCAGAAGTCAGGTTAATACACAGCCCTATTGGACAACTGTTAAAATTCATATTATGGCAAGAACCAATCAGCTAACTAAAGAAAAACGAGTGGCCATCACTACTTTAAGAAATGAAGGTCAGTCAGTCTGGAAAATTGCAAAAACTTTAAATGTGTCCCCAAGTGGAGTCGCAAAAACCATCAAGCGCTACAACGAAACTGGCACACATAAGGACCGACCCAGGAAAGGAAGACCAAGAGTCACCTCTGCTTCTGAGGATAAGTTCATCCGAGTCACCAGCCTCAGAAATCACAAGTTAACAGCAGCTCAGATCAGAGACCAGATGAATGCCACACAGAGTTCTAGCAGCAGACCCATCTCTAGAACAACTGTTAAGAGGAGACTGCGCGAATCAGGCCTTCATGGTCAAATAGCTGCTAGGAAACCACTGCTAAAGAGAGGCAACAAGCAGAAGAGATTTGTTTGGGCCAAGAAACACAAGGAATGGACATTAGACCAGTGGAAATCTGTGCTTTGGTCTGATGAGTCCAAATTTGAGATCTTTGGTTCCAACTGCCGTGTCTTTGTGAGACGCAGAAAAGGTGAACGGATGGATTCCACATGCCTGGTTCCCACTGTGAAGCATGGAGGAGGAGGTGTGATGGTGTGGGGGTGTTTTGCTGGTGACACTGTTGGGGATTTATTCAAAATTGAAGGCACACTGAACCAGCATGGCTACCACAGCATCCTGCAGCGACATGCCATCCCATCCGGTTTGCGTTTAGTTGGACAATCATTTATTTTTCAACAGGACAATGACCCCAAACACACCTCCAGGCTGTGTAAGGGCTATTTGACCAAGAAGGAGAGTGATGGAGTGCTGCGGCAGATGACCTGGCCTCCACAGTCACCGGACCTGAACCCAATCGAGATGGTTTGGGGTGAGCTGGACCGCAGAGTGAAGGCAAAGGGGCCAACAAGTGCTAAACACCTCTGGGAACTCCTTCAAGACTGTTGGAAAACCATTTCAGGTGACTACCTCTTGAAGCTCATCGAGAGAATGCCAAGAGTGTGCAAAGCAGTAATCAGAGCAAAGGGTGGCTATTTTGAAGAAACAAGAATATAAAACATGTTTTCAGTTATTTCACCTTTTTTTGTTAAGTACATAACTCCACATGTGTTCATTCATAGTTTTGATGCCTTCAGTGAGAATCTACAATGTAAATAGTCATGAAAATAAAGAAAACGCATTGAATGAGAAGGTGTGTCCAAACTTTTGGCCTGTACTGTATATATTTAAATTTTACACTTAATTCTTGCAACAGTTACTGTGATAAAGTAGACATTAGTTTATCTATTAAGACTTTTAGTACATGAAAGATTAAAATACAAAAACAAAAAAAATGTTGTTGTCTCCATAAAATAACCCCAAATAGCTGTCAAAACAAAAGATTTAAATAAATATATAATATAAAAATATCAATATGTATACTATATATATTAATATAATATATAATATAAAAATATTATTATGTAAAGTTCTAATACCAAAAATCTCGATTTTGGTCTCTTTGGCAGCACCTGCTGTGATGAGTGGGAACTGCAGTCCGTTTGTTGGCAGACTGCCTACATTGTCATATGCAATCGCATTTAGAGCACTGGTTATCCGGTTTGGGTAATCGTGCAAAGTTTGAATGTGAATGAAGGTGATCCAGTCTACTGTTGCTTTGAAAAACCAGCACAAAAGTAAAATGGATTAGCTCATCATGGACAGCAAAACATGGGTTTTAACTCTGGATCATTCTTGTCCAGATTACTAATTTTGAACAACTGGGTCAAGAGGGGTTAAAACTTTTCTGGTGGGCACTGTTCTACACTAGATACTTGTCTATATATGAGCTTAATTTGTTGTGGCCATCATGATATATCGCACATCCATCAATTAGCTACAACCACTTATCCTTAAAGGTCAAAGGGGCTGGAGCCAATCCCCTGACATTGAGTGAGAGGTGGAGTAACACACCCTGGACCAAGTTGTCAATTACAAGGCTAACACAAAGAAACAGACTCATATAACCCCTATGGACAATTCAGAGTCCTTGGTTAACCCAACCTGTATGTCTTTCAAGAATACATGTCCCAGCCTGCCTGCAGGTTTGCACCCAGACATTCTGAGTGGTAACTAACCACTGCATCACTGTGCCACACATAAGATGTCCCATTGTGTATATCAGAATGTTTTAATTCCAGCAATCATGACATTCTTCATTTTGTCAGACAAAGGTGCTTTAGAATAAATACTGATCTATCTTATGAGGTCAAAAACAGACATGTATTGAGCATTTTGGCAAGGACAAGACCAATGGTGACTACGGGACATAATATGTGTTTCATGAGTCGTTGCAGGGCTCGTTTGCTTATTGCCTCAATAATTGGATATTGCTATAAAGGAATTATATGTTGTTTTAACGCTTTTGCACAAAGGGTTTTATTGGGTGAGTCAGATTCCTTGTTGAACCTGTTAGTGCCACACCCACAGATTTTTTTAAGTATGAATTTGTTAATGATGTGTGATTTGTGCAGTAGTAACTTTTTAAATCTCTCCTTTGTGTTGTTTCAGTCTTGCAGTCAGTGGATATCAGAGAGCCGGATTACACTGGCCTTCACATAGCGCAGGACTACCAAACAGATGGCCACAAAACCCCCATTGGGTTGTTCCTGGTTTGTATGCATGCAGCATCCTTGTGGTTGTCTGACTCGGAAAACACTGCATAATGACAGATGTAACTTTCTCGTTCTTTTTGTTTTGTCTCCTTTCAGGAAGGACGATGTTTGTGCAGACACAGGACACACCAAATCCAAACAGCCTAAAGTTTCTGCCCGGTCGTATAGTTCTTGAAACAGGGACTATGAATTTCGCCGGCCCTCGTGACGCACACTGCTCACCCTTAGCCCGGTATGTGACTTCTTACATACAAGGTCACTGAACTGAGAGTAATATATCAGTCTCACAGCAAACATTGTGATGTGGCATGGCAGGAAAAAGAACAGGTTTGAATAACTGTGTTGATGTTGGCTGTGTTCCACTGTTTTACACCCATATGGATTGAAGTCATTTTTACTTACACTTGTCTGATAAGTCACCTGTAAAGATTTATTCACCTGCTGTACCAGCAGCGTGAGAACCAAAGAAGTCAGTGTACTCATAAAGTAAAAAATAGTAAGACTTCTGGGTGCTCCTCAGAATGTCCTTGATTCTGCAGTCATCGACCTTACAGCTGAGGACACTGTTCCTACATCTGTCCAATTTAGTACTTATAAAAGTATGAAACAGTGTGTCTTCCAGTGAATGATAGATTCTCTTACTGGTTGCTTGACTCAGCTTTTACATCAAATTGAGCTTTAAAATTTTCACTTTTAACAGCCTACAATAAATAATATATATAGTATAAGCAGAAGGAGTACAATATAGTACATATAAATGTAATTATCTACACATGTGTAGATCATTTTCTTTCTGTTTTTAAACTTTATATCTATTATTGGTTTGGTTTGTATGGCCTTGTTTTTTAATAGAAGTGTCAAATTAACTTTGTAATTGATCCAACACTTAACAAACCGTCACTTAAGTGTTGGATCAATTACAACACTTAACAAACCGTCACTTAAGTTCTGTTTTGTCTCCAGACAGCTGTTTAGGATTGATGGAGTCAAGAGCGTCTTCCTGGGCCCTGACTTTATCACCATAACAAGGGTAAAATCACGTCATGTTCATATGAGCCTCATAGTGTAGCACATTGTAATGTCATTGCTCAGAATAGCCTGTTTTCTTTCTGTCTCTGTGCAGGCTGATGAAACTATGGAATGGAAAGTTATCAAGCCTGACGTGTTTGCTGCCATTATGGACTTCTTCACTTCTGGACTTCCTGTGGTCAATGAGGACAGCGCACCTAGTCCAGACACAGGTAAGGGTTTCAATCAGCTGCAGGGAAAACACTGAAATAGATCGAATGAGTAGGGCCAGCTCTTTGTGAATTTATGCCAAGGAATTTCCAACTGTCTTTCCAGCACCATCAGATGATGACGATGAAGTAGTCGCAATGATCAAAGAACTGCTGGATACTCGAATAAGGTAGCTGCTTTTGAAGAGCTGTATCAGCATCTGTTACTGCGGTTTTCTGTCCTTTACCCACACATGTTTTTGTTCCTCTTCCCCAGGCCAACAGTGCAGGAGGACGGAGGTGATGTTGTGTATCGGGGTTTTGAGGACGGCATTGTTAAACTGAAGCTGCAGGGCTCCTGCACCAGTTGTCCCAGTTCCATTGTTACTCTGAAGAACGGCATCCAAAACATGCTGCAGTTTTACGTCCCCGAAGTTGAATCAGTGGAGCAGGTTTGTTCTCCTGCTTTGCTGTAAACAAGCTGTAAACATGTTAGAGCAGACAACACAGCACAACAGATGTTTTATGTAATATAAGCACTGTAATTTAAAAAATAATTGTTTGTAATTTGATAACTGTTTATATTGGCCCTGTCATTATTCATAATTACCATCAACAGTCAGCGGAGGAAAAAAGTCTGTGCTACTTATAAGTGATCGCTGAAGTTGTAATTTTATTTCCACAGGTGAAGGATGAGGATGAGGAGGAGGCTGCCCAAGTCTGAACTGCACTGAAACCCCTTTTACACATTCCTCGCTCCCTCGGCCACCTCCTCAATGCAAGCCATAGTTGCAATACAGTGTGAGAGAACGCATCATCATCATCATCATCATCATCATTCATCCGGATGTTATTATTGATTTTGTAGCTATTTTCTGTACAATGACAGTATTTTAAAACATGGAGACAGAAGAGCGCAGTCATAGGAACTGACGATTGTAGAGCTGAAAAAAATTGTATTTATTATTTCACATTGCTATACTTTTTGAATCAGTCACTAGGCAAAACCGCATTGAACAGGCTGAAGTTACATATACTGTATGTATATAAATAAAGTTTGTTGAAATATTTTATGATGGCTGTGCAGTATTTTGTTGTGCATGTGGAGTGAATAATTTATATGTTTAATATCACAGAATTGCAATTTCCAGGCCTCTTCCAGTGCAAACATACAAGATTACAGTCACTAGATATTACTGCCACAATCATACTGTTTTACTTTATTTATTTTTTTTCATGAAGATATTATTTTTGACAAACGCAAAGAGGTGTATTTGTTGAGTTGAATTACAAATTGAATATTTGGGCCTCTGTCAGACTAGTCTAGGATTTTTCTGAGGGTTGTGACATCTTAAACTGAGATTATTGTAATCTTTCTGAGACTTGGGATTTAATGACAGAAAGAGAACATTTAAATTATATAATAACACAAATTACACATTTTAAAGGCTGATTTTGATACAAATTTGATCAAATTTGATTTTGTAACCAAGATGTCCTTGGAAGTGTAGACATGGCCTTGACATGACATACTACCTACATAATAGTGTAAAGAGATCAGATTCACAGAAAACCTTTGAAAGTAGGTAAAATGTGAAGAGATGTGATTTTTAAAATACACATTTGAAACAGTAAAATGGGTTGTGCTGCAGGACTTTGGACTCAAGACCTTTAAACGATTTAATTAAACGATTAGTCAATTAATCAACAGTTAGTTATAATGCTGCAGTGTTTGACCAGATTTGACATCAATCTGCAGTTGGCAGAGAACGCAGGCCTGTCACTGCGCAGTAATGTTGACTCAAGGTGTGCTGAATAGCAGCAGCAGCAGGGTCTGCGCGGATCTGCATCCTGATGCCACGTCAGGATTGCCTGCGTCGGTGGGTGCAACTTGACTGACAGGCTGCTGGACCAATCAGAGGGCGCCATGGAAGAAGGCGGTTGGCTCTGAGTCAGTGCGAACAGGGAGGGGGGCGAAGCTTATTTGACAGGCGTTCCCAGCTACCCGAGTAGCTGTAACTGGCAGCCAAACTGTAGACATGTGTGGTAAGTACTGAAAAAATTATACCTTTATATTATTACACAGGAATTATACCTTATCCTTTATTTACGAGGACAGCGAATAATCTACTGTGAAATGCTGCTAGCATCATTAGGGTCGGCTAAAGGCGCTAGTCATGATATTAGCTAAGGGTGGCTAACCGGAGTTAGCGAGCATGAGCTGGTGCTGCTGATGCTGTTAGCCAGCCAAATATGAAGCAACCGCCGTTTCGTTTAACTGTACGTCCTTTATGTTTATTTGAAGCCAACAGTGTCTAATGGCAAGACGATATCTGGAGTAATGTTAAAATGTTTCTTCCTGCTAACGCAGGTTGCGTGGTTTGCGGTAACATTACGTCCATCGCGTAACTTTCCATTAAACCTCTGTCACACCGGTTTGTCTATCTAGCGTTAAACGTGTGGACTAGCTGCGACTTGATACTGGCATTATGTTTTAATTAGAGTCTTTCAGATATGTTTTGTGCTTAAAAAATGGAAGCGTGAAAAGAGGTGTCCTTTGGTTGGATGTTACACTCGTGTGTCGCCATCATACTGCACTAAGGTTAAACTTCTATTGAGAAAGTTCCTGGAAAAGATTTGCCTTTGTCAGTTTGGGAATTGTAGTTCCTATTATAGTTAAGATTTTTGGATAATATCTACCCCTGCCCCGCATTGTCTGTCTCCTTTAGTCACGCCTGATAACTGATGCTTCTCTGTCTCCCATCACTGTCACTATAATCTCATCTGTAAAAACCAGATAGACCAGTTGTTATTCTTAGGCTATCAAAACAAATACTTCTCTATTAACGTCTATCGTCACAACAGTATGTCACTTTGCTGTTTGTTAAGCAAAGGTCAGTCTTATGCTCTGTGCGCCTACTTGCTGCAACATTTTCCTTGGTAATTTTTTCCCCCCACTGCCTTCTTCCATCACCTGCCTTTCTGAATGAATGCTCTGTTGAACCAGGCAGCCCTCTGGCTCTATATTTGCATTTATCTGTTGGTGCTTAGCTGTGTAACAGGGCTGTATTTCATGCCTCCCCTCTGGATAATTAAGGTGACACTCCTGTCAGTGAGAGTTATTCACTGGGTAAAGATTGCACTGGCTGTGGATGCCAAATATCTGCAGGAAAGACTGCTAATTATTGCTGGGATTTATCATTGAATTGCTTAAGTCTTGATTCATATGGATCTGTTGTTGCACAATAATAGTGTTTGAGTCAGTTGTACACAGACTAATTTCAGTCAAATTTACACCGTGACACTGTAACTGTCTTAAAATGATGTGCAGATTTTTGCAAAGATGGTTTTAATTGTCAGTCATAGTTATACACAAGCATCTTGGACCAAGACCAGAACCAAAACATCTTGAATGAGATTTCTTGTGTCGCTGTGGCACTCCTGCCTCCTCCCCAGGCAGAAATATCAGCTTGCGAAATGCCGAGTCTATAGATATACCCCATTGTCTGTAAGCAGGTCTTACTGCCCACACAGAAAACTGTTTTTCCAGTGCTCTTGTAAGACTGGTTTCTTTTTGATTTTTAGTCAAGGAAATAGTAGAGGCTGTGACATGACTAAGTAATGCTTGTCCCACTTCTGAAGGAATCACATTACATTCTTCTTGGTTTCAGCAGCCACCTCTACATTCATTCTTGTCATTAGTGGAGATCGGAAAGGCAATATTATTACAATATTAACTTATGGTGGAATTGTATTGTGACAGTATGAATATAGCATGTTTTGGTTTGGTCAGTTGTACAAATAAACAAATCCAAGAAAGGTTTTGCCTTATGTAATGGCAGTAGAACACATAATATTTTCTGTTTTTTTGCGCACATTTGTCAAATCCTGATATATATTTTATATTTAGGATTGCAACAGTATGAGATCACTTTCATGGTGTATAGTATTACACAATGGTTATTGCTGTAATCAGTTACAGTGACCCTTAAAAGAATAAGAACAGAAAAGCGCTGTAGAAATAAATGTAACTTACTTACGTACTTACTTAAATCCACATGCAGTGGTCCAGATTCATTTGGGTGATACTAGAGGTGCAGGACTGCAACAGTATTAAGCAGTCAGAATCAGCAGCAAAACAGCACTGAATTGACAGCTAGCTAACACTTTAACATGGATGCACCACTGTTGACAGGCATTTCAATCAATCTTTGCCTCCAGCTGCACTTCTAAAGCATACTTCTAAAGAAAGACATATGAACAGAAATCTGCTTTAGAGGCCTGAAATTCGTTATATAGAAAACCAGCACTGAATCTTGACCTTGTGTTCCTTCCTCTCCCCAGGAATCTTCGCCTATCTCAACTACCATGTGCCAAGGAATCGCCGTGAGATCCTTGAGATACTCCTCAAAGGTCTGCGCCGTTTGGAGTACAGAGGCTACGACTCAGCTGGTGAGCGAGATGGAGAATGCTCATATCTACAAAACTGTTTTTATCTGTCCTCTGTCCTTCACTGTCCCTGACTGTCTGTCTCCAGGACAGTTATTCTAATAATGCCACCAAATTGCTGATAGTATTCACATTAGGTTCAACAACAGTAATGCAACACAAGAACGACTTCTCAGTCACACTCAATGTTTTGTTTATTTGCTCTAATGAGTTCGGAGCATAAAGCAAGACTGTTGTTCACTGTGAATAATTGAACAGTCATAACTGTATGATGCTGGGTTAGACTTACTGCACCACTAATGGGGTGCTGTATGTGAAGTCCATTTGCATTACACGCAAGTCTTCATACTTTTTTCCTGTGTATTAGTTGAGTGTAGCAGCTTGTTGTGTTGGACTTCTGTTCTGACATTAGACCACAAAAACAGGACGTTACCTGAAAAGTGGTAACAGCACTGTAGTTTTTTTTTATGCTGAAGGACTTATGATCACTGTTATTCTCATGCTATTTCTTCTTATTATTTTGTTAGGTGTGGGAATTGACGGTGGCAATGGCAAGGACTGGGAGCAAAATGCCAAAAGCATCCAGCTGATCAAGCAACGTGGAAAAGTGAAGGCTCTTGATGAGGAGATCAACAGTAAGCCAAGTGCCACGAATCAGCCATTAACAAATGAAACCATGTCGATGTGTCATGCTGTATACTGTGGTGCAACTGTGGTACAAAATGTCGTCTGTATTGGCATGTGTTTGTTTGACTTTCAGAGCAGCAGGATATTGACCTAGATGTGGAGTTTGATGTTCACCTCGGCATTGCTCACACCCGCTGGGCCACCCATGGTGTGCCAAGCCCTGTCAACAGCCATCCACATAGATCTGACAAGAGTAATGGTCAGTTGTGTTTAAAGATGGAAAGATAGCAAATCGCTCACTGTTTTTTGACCTGGTTGCAGGTGTCTTGATATCTTAAAGTTTCTGATAATCTGTCTGGTCTGCAGAGTTCATTGTCATCCACAATGGAATTATCACCAACTACAAAGACCTGAGGAAATTCCTGGTGAGTAAATATTTTTTATAAGCTATTCTAGACCTCTTTTGATCTCTCTGACAGGAGACAGGACTAACTCCTTCTCTCCCTCCATTGCCACAGGAGAGCAAAGGCTACGAGTTTGAGTCAGAGACTGACACAGAGTCTATTGCCAAGCTGGTGAAGTACATGTTTGACAACCGGGAGAGTGATGACATCAGTTTCGCTACACTTGTGGAGCGGGTGACCCAGCAGCTGGTAAGGACTTGCTCATGCACACGGCTGCCTCTGATGTGATGAGCAGATAAAAGAGCCTGTCTGATGTGTTTATTATTGCACCTGCCAGGAGGGAGCTTTTGCCCTTGTCTTCAAGAGTGTCCACTACCCCGGAGAGGCTGTCGTCACAAGGTATATGCTTACTGATGCTGTCAAACTTTTGTGAGTTATTGCAGATTGAAGTATTGTTGGCTCATAAAAATGTTACTGTGCAGGAGGGGGAGTCCCCTGCTGATTGGAGTTAGGAGTGATCACAAGCTGTCTACTGATCATATTCCTGTGCTCTACCGTTCCTGTAAGTTTAAGTTTTTGTTTGTCTAATTTGTCCAGGTGTGATTGCACAAGAAGTGTGACTAAGGCCCAGTTCTTCTTTTTGTTTTTACCTCAACAGCTAAAGACAAGAAGGGCTGTACTGCCCTGCCCAGGACGGACCAGGACACCTGCCTGTTCCCTGTGGATGAGAAAGCTGTGGAGTACTACTTTGCCTCTGATGCAAGGCAAGCAGATACCTGTGTCCTTGCATCCACCTTTTACAGCATCCTGAAATCATCCACAGTCCCATACATATCAGTTTTATCTGTGGAGTGTTTGATGTGTATTTTTTATTTGTCCATTTCTCTCATTACAACAGCGCAGTGATTGAGCACACAAACCGTGTGATCTTCCTGGAGGATGACGACGTGGCTGCCGTGAGTGACGGCCGGCTGTCCATCCACAGGATGAAACGCAAGACCGGGGACTATCCAGCCCGTGCCATCCAGACCCTGCAGATGGAGCTGCAGCAGATTATGAAGGGTAAGTGGAAGGTCAGCCTTGTTTCTTGTCATTTTCTCCCCACCATACATTTCTCCTGCGCATATTTGGAAATAAATCATTAGTGAACTGCCTTATAATTATGTCCTTAACCCTGTTATTATTGTGTAAATCTTACTGGGAGACTGGCAGCTTATATAGCTGAGCTGGCTGTTAACATCCAGCCCATAGGCTATTCTTGTTATCATCCAGCTAGTTACAACCCTGCTGGATCAGTTGGCCCCCTAGGGAAGCCACTGTCATTAAAATGACCCCTGTGTTGCAGGTCTTTTTCTCCCTCACCTTCCTTCTCTTTGCATACGCTAACACACAGGATTTTAACAGGAAGTTTAACCAAGGTTAATAAGGTTAAAGTGATCATTTTTGATTTGAGAGTTTTTACATTCACATATTATGAGCAGTGTAGGGAGTACTGTACTTTTCATACAGAGTTCCCCAAATTAAACAAATGGTTAGACATTTTGGGTATTATGCTTTATCACTTTCTTGTCGCGAGTTAGATGAGAAGATTAATTCTCATGTTTCAAAACTGTTTTCTTGGCTGGGACCAGGAACTTCCCAGAGTCACTGCTGTTTGCCTGGCGACTTTTTTCAGCCAAGACACACTCTGGCACACAATCTCCCATTAAAGGATTAATTGTCATTTTAAAAATATTTTTTTCTAAGCAGATCAACAAACAAGATGTAACATGTTCAGTTGTGAGCTTTAGTGTTGGAAAGTAGATTCTGTTACTCAGAGGGCCACGCTCGCTCTTTCTCCTGTTTCCAGTCTTTGTGTTAAGTTAACAGACTGTTAGCTGTGGCCTCATATTTCTCCTAGAGTTATAGGGCTGGGTATTGTTTAAAAAATTATGATAGCAGTACCAATACCAGTACTCCTCTGGGGCTAACAAATGAAGCCATAACAGAAGGGCAAAATAACTGCAGTTCTTTGAATGGCACCTTGAAGCTGGCTCCAGAAGTGAGTCAGTCCCCATAGAACCCAATGTGAAAATGCCCAACTTTACAGCAGAAATAAAAATGTTTACAGCCTGTTACAAAAACATGGTTTTGGTCTCTATAGCTAATTTCAACATTCATGAAAACTGTACGGGGGTGAATTTTTACGTAATCACCCAGCTCACTTAACTTGCATTTTAAAAAGGGTTAAAGTTGCGTATAGGTAACGGCGGGCCACTTTGGGTGACAGGTTGTCTGCCGATAGTCGCCTCAGCTTTTCAGCCAGATCCACCCCTCGCTCCTCCACAGCTTCAGCCTCTTGCCCAAATATGGCCACCTTTGGCTACCAAAAAAACAAAACAAAAAAAAGCAACAGCCAAAACGCCAAACTCGAGGCTGTAAAACAGGGGGGCACAAACCAATGGGTTTTATTTTTATAGCCTATTGTTTTAACACACAATAGATGAGTAATTTAGTCCAGTAAGTTACCCACCTATCTTACCTGAAGTAATCAGCAAGTTAGATTCCAACATTTTGGTTGCATCTCAGTACACTGAAGTGCCAGCTCTGTCAAATACACCACCCTCAACTTCACCACGCCACAGACTGTAGCTGCTGTGGTATTGGGCCAACTGCACATCGCATGAAATCGAAGAACGCTTGCAGTGATTGGCTGCAAGCAAAGTTGTACAAATAGTAATTTTTTTCTAGATCTGGCCACAAAAAGGACTGAATACAGGTATCGTTTGACTGGAGAAGTTTCGATACTACTTAGTACTGGGTTATTTCGTTTGATATTTTAATATCAGATACTGATACTTCACCCTAGAGAGGTATTGATCCTCTCACATCACTCTTATAAAGAGAGTAAATAAATGGATTTTTTGTTATTGATTAATCTGCCAAATATTTTCTTGATTACTTTTTCAGTACATGAAAAGTTGATAAGATTTGCAGAAAAACAGCCTTTTACTTCCCAGAGCCCAAAGTGATGTCTTGAACTTTGTTTATCTGACCAACAATCCAAAACTTAAAAATATTACGGTCATATGACAAAAAGGAGCCGCAAATGTGAGAAGCTGGAACTAGCACATAGCGTAATGGGTGCAGCTCTAAAGGAGACCGAAATGTATTAATCATATTGAAAATACTTTGCATTATATTGCTGCTATGTCCTTAAATTGGTGGACTTTGTGGACAGTGAATACTGTTCATCCAATATGTATGTAAACACACTTAAAGGTGAAAGACAACACTTGAACCTCATTGTCATCCACACAATGAAAAATGGGGATTTTTGTATTTCCTTTTTCTCCGCCGACTCTTCCTCTGTAATCCAGCAGAGGGCAGAGGTAAACTTATGTTGGCTGCTCTCAACATTCCTTTGTGGTCCTGTCATTACTCAGCCTCTCTCCTCCGTTTCAGTTTCTGGAGCCTTTCTGCTGAATAACCTAATTTGCATGACCCAAATTGCTGTCAGCAGCAGGCTGAAAAACGGTCGTATATTTCACTGTCACAGTTTATTATTGATGGAAAACCAGTATCTCCCTCATGTCTAATGTTTGTTTTCTTTCATTTTAAAGGATGACTTACCCTGTGGCTCTGAATATGTTAATACAGCAACAAAAAGACAGTAACTCCCTACATTTCCAGGACAGTCTAAATATCAGTTAAACATTGTAAAGATTTTCTTACTCCTCCAGGAGCCTGTGGTTTGCATTTTCAGGTACTTAATGTGTGTCAACAAGACCCGTCTCAGACTGCCTCATGTGGGCTCACACTTTATAAAAAGTCCATCACTGTGTTCTTAAGGGGCATTTATTTATTTATTTATTTTTTTAACTAGTGTTTTACGAATGTTCCCCTGATTTCTGATCCTCCCTCCACAGGCAACTACAGCTCCTTCATGCAAAAGGAGATCTTTGAGCAGCCAGAGTCTGTGGTCAACACCATGAGGGGGAGAATCAACTTTGACAACAACACAGGTTAGTTTTCTCAGTGGGGCAGTGATGTAATTAAACACCTATTAATGCACTATTTTCCACTCTGTCCCTTCATGCATGTCGCTCAGACACATGCTCAAATGTCTTCTATTCAGCATTTCTGAGAAGGAAAGCACATATAAATACATTGATGTATTCAGTTGCCTGCATGACACTGCATAAAACAAGAGGAGTTACGTTTGTATCCAAGATATAAATTGGTGTTCAATAGATTTAATCAAGCTATATACATGTAAAAAAAAAAAAAGCAAAATATGTGAAAATAACTTGTAGATAGATGGTTGTTTTCTTAAAACATTGTCTTGTGGGCTCTTTGTGCCCCTTTTTAATGAGGTGGAAACTAATGGAGCAGGATGATGGATCATCTGTTTGCTTTTCAGTGACACTGGGTGGACTGAAGGACCACATCAAAGAGATCCAGAGGTGTCGGCGACTTATCCTTATTGCCTGCGGCACCAGCTACCATGCCGGGGTAGCGGTGAGTGGCCTCTAACCAAATACTTTTTCTTCTTTGTTGGAAATGCACATAATGGAAACATGTCTGTATTGCCATCCACATTGAATCCATCAGACTAGGAGGAAATGTCTGTGTTGTGGACACAGGTGTGGGGTTTGTGCGCTGGCACATTCTCCGGTCCGAGCTCCACTGGCTTGTTTTAACAGAATGATGCTGAGCAGTGCTCCGTTGCTTTCTCAGACCCGCCAGGTCCTGGAGGAGCTTACCGAGCTGCCTGTCATGGTGGAGCTGGCCAGTGACTTCCTGGATAGGAACACTCCCGTCTTCCGAGACGATGTCTGCTTCTTCATCAGCCAGTCAGGTGGGGAGGCCGGTGTCATCTGGACTTGATCGAATGCACATTCCCCATTTGTCCACTTTCCATCCCTGGGAGCCTCTCTGCTTCTTCCTGATTTATCTTTTCTTGTGTTCATCTTGAGTCAAAGTGGTCAAGTCAAGCTTGTGCAGTACAGTTGAGTTTTCTGTATTTGCTCTGCTGTAGTCCTGTGAATGTATGTATGTTTCTTTAGTGTGATAATTTTTTTCAAGATGTGTGGGTGTGTGATACTTCTGTGGGGGTTTTCTCTAAAGCTGTTTCAAATCAGAGTCCTGCATGGTGCAAAAACCATTTCCTAACGAACTAATAAATCAGTATCATTATACTGTCGTAACTCTTACATCACATAAACTGTTGTGTTTTTATTTTCCTGCCAATTCTCCAGGAGAGACTGCTGACAGCCTTATGGCCCTGCGCTACTGTAAGGAGAGAGGAGCTCTGACTGTGGGTGTCACCAACACAGTGGGCAGCTCCATCTCAAGGGAGACCGACTGTGGAGTCCACATCAACGCCGGGCCTGAGATTGGAGTAGCCAGCACCAAGGTGAGCCTGTTTTTATGTATTCCAACAAGCTGCAATAACCAGGGAATGTTTACAGTATCTACATCTACAAATGTGCATTTACAGTATTGAACGATATTGTTGGGATCACTTTAAGAGCAATTTGATGAACAATAGAAACACCGACAGCCATTAAAAATACATTCCAATTTACAGGGTGTCATGTCATTAAGCAAACACTTTCCAAGTGGTCTACTTTAATCACTTCGTCTTGGTTGTTGTGGCACACAACTTGCTAGAAGCATATATAACGTAATGTTAGGCTGTAAATTACACAGAAATAAACATCGTTTTACCTGAGACATAAGGCACATCCAGACAGTCTACGGCACTGATGGGGTCTCTGGAGTTTGTTTTGTCATTACTGACGATCCCCAGAATACCATCAAATTGATGTTGACTCATTTTCTTGTTTGTTTCTCTAAACAGCGTACAGCAATAACAGGTCATTGATATTCGTTTCCCCAAGCTACTGACACAGCTGGAGCATGCAGCACCATACACAACCTTACCGTTCCTCAGTGTGGTTGCTCATGTCTTTATTGTTATATCCCTTGTTGAAGTTATCTTTCTTGGTGTGGATGGCCCTTTCGAATTTGCAATATTTTATAGACACTTTCTGAACTAGGAGACTAGCAAAATGAATGTTAGATAGTTAGTTGGAGCCCTAGTTTTAATTGAAGTACACCTGCCAATTTGTCTAACATGTTACTAAGGGGTGTTTGCCAATACTTTTGGATAAGATGTATTCAGCAAGCAGATATTTATACGTAGATTTCTACATACTGTACCAAGCCCCACTGAACTTATTCCTCCGTTTAGAGGAACAATGTGTCCATTTTTCTCTCGCCACAAGCACATGTTCATTAGAACTGCTGCATTTTCCTCTGAGTGAAGAGGTGTACTTTACGTCAGATCAACCAAAAATATCTTCATGGATAGATGGCATCCAGTTTAGAGGACACATACTTATTTTTTGGGTGAACTGATCTTTTTGTGTTGAGTTTGAGGAAACTGTACACCGATCTGTTGCATCATCTCATAAATGAACTCAACGCCCACTGACACTGAATGAAACCCAGATGAAAACTCCATTGTGAGTCTGGCCCCGCCTCCTGGAAGCTGACATTTTCCTCCACTCTGAACCCTCGGGGAGTTTAAGAAGCCTGATATTCTCATCTCAACTCATGTAAAGCAAGGATCCTTGGTTTTCTGCCTCTCCCCCCACCCGCTTCCCAAAACCAAAAGGGTTTGCCAGTTTGGACTCAAAGCAGAGCAGAGCAGAGAAGTAGTGGAGCCCCAGCCCCAGCTAGTGAAGAGAGAGAGAGTGGAGCAGGTCCCTCCCTGGCCCAACCCTTGGGCTTGGCTCAGGGACTCTTGCGCTGCTCCAAAGCCCCAGAGCACGCCTCAGAGACGCCATCATTTACTGCTTGGCTGGCTGGGCCACACACCCACACCCAACTCCACCAAATGCTACACAACCTAGCTCATCAAATCACTAGAGAACACATATCGCACCCAACTGCTAAATGACCCCAAATTCATCTGCTTGGGCTCTATGTTTCTGTTTCATGCTAATTAATTTTTTTTTATGAACTGGAAAAGAGAAAAAGTGAAAGAGCTTTTTTCCAATTCCTTTGATCATATTCAAGATTTATGGAAAAAGCTGAGTCAGAATACTTTGATGCTATCAAAAGGCAAATCCTTCTGGCAGGACAACTGACTGAATGGAGGAAGAGAGGCTTCATGAATTATGTAGCAGTATCTATTGGGAATTTACAGGGCTACAAAGTTTTCTAGTTCACAACTGTGTCTGTTTGATATAAATGTGTTCAAGTTTCAGCTGTATGTACGGGCGGTTATCTTTGCAGGGTAACGGTTGGCATGTCATGCATGAAAAACACTAAAAGCTGGTGACATGAACACAGAAAACACCACAGTTTACTATGTGGATTAAACATGTTGCCACATCTGACCCGCCAGCACAGACTGTCAGAGTTCTGAGGGACTGTGGTTAGCGTGCTGTCAGGAGGGGAAAAAAACAGTGTAAAAGGTTTTACAGCTATTTTCTTGGCCCTGCACACTGGCATTTCTGAGTCTGGAGGGTCCCGTGAAATGACTTGGCTTCTCTCGAGCACTGATTAAATTTCCCAAATGGGCATGGAAGGCTTCCAAACGTGCTCGGAGATGAAGGAACAGAGAGAAAGAGAGAGCGAGTGGGCGGCAATGACGGCGGGCACGGAGATGTGCTGGGGTTGTGAGCGGTGACATTTCCAGAATGATCAGAGGGTGTGCTCTCTGATGTGATGTGTGTTGTTCACCAAGTTTTCCAGGATGAGCAGCACTAGCTTTAGTGAGCTGAACTGCATACATTTTAATGCTGCTTGGCATGCACTAAAACCCACCTTTCCTTCCATTTCTCATCTGGTGCAGATTATTAGCTGGAGACAGAGTTCACTATCAAAATAGGGAGACGAGAAGCACAGAGTCCAAGAACTCTGCTGAAAGACAGGCTCAAGTCAGGATCTGGTTGCAGATCTTTGTATTCAATATTGAGCTGCAAACAGGAAAACTACTGTACTGAAGTAATCAGGTCACAACAAGCAATATTGCAGCGTCCAGTGGTCGTTTTGTGACCATGTCTACATTCATGCATCAGTCAAGGAACAGCAGTTTTTCTGTATAAATCGGTGAATGAGAAAAATATGTAAATGTGATTCAGGAATTGCAATACAACGCTAACATTAGCACAACTCTCCTTTTCTTTGCTCTGCAGGCCTACACCAGCCAGTTTGTGGCCCTGATCATGTTTGCACTGTTGATGTGTGATGACAGAATTTCCATGCAGCCCAGACGCCGAGAGATAATCCAGGGTCTGCGAGTGCTTCCAGGTAAATCAAGGCACAAGTGCTCAAAAAGAGAAATCCAGATCACATGTGAGATTAAAAATGGATATGTATGGAAAACCAGCTCACGGAGCAAAGATCAAGTACATCCAAAGCCTGTTTCATTTTTGTTGTTTGTTCAAACAATCCCCTTGGAAGTGAAAGCTAAGTGATGAGAGCGAGATCAGAAGAGAAGAGAGAGCTGTTGGCTGTAGGCTCTTGCATGCCTCTCCGGATCTAAAGCATATGATGGCATGTCACTAATGGTAAAGTAATGAGGAATGTCTGGCCTCTCTGCTGCTCCTTGCCCAACATTATGAGTCCATATACTAGCATGTGACAGCAGCAACATTTTGACTCCGTATTTTCTCCAGTATTACGCAGGGCAGTTTTCCTTCCTTCTTTTTTTGACCTTTTTTTTGCCGCTTTTCCAAAAAAAATCCTCAATCACATGTGTTTTGCTGTTCTGTCCGTGTTAGATCTGATTAAGGAGGTCCTCAGTTTGGATGATGAGATCCAGAAGTTGGCAACAGAGCTGTACCAGCAGAAGAGTGTACTGATCATGGGCAGAGGCTACCACTATGCTACCTGCCTGGAAGGAGCACTGGTGAGCAAGTACAACCTTTTGTTTCCGCTAGCTTCATCTACATTTTTTTTTTCTTCCAATGTGAGCACTATTAATACTGCCAGGTGTTTCTGGAGGGCTTTGTACTGCAAGACATATTTTACTTATTTCTTTGTACTCTAAGACACCAATGATGTTGGATTCCTGTAGTAGATAATTGTCTCTGACTGTACATCTTAATCCTCCTCTTTGAATAATAAAATACTGAGCAAAGGAACTTCAAGTCTAAGAAGCATAGTGTTAGTACAGAGATGGAATGAGGTTTTATGTTTTGAAATGTAAACCATATTGACTGCTAATGTAAGCTTTGATTTTCTTAATCTGTACGTGTTTTTCATCTCATGCAGAAAATCAAGGAAATCACGTACATGCATTCAGAGGGCATTCTTGCCGGAGAGCTGAAACACGGTCCCCTGGCCCTGGTGGATAAACTCATGCCGGTCATCATGATCATCATGAGAGACCATACCTACGTCAAATGTCAGAACGCCTTGCAGCAAATTGTTGCCCGCCAGGTAAGACATACCCTAAAAATTGATATACTTGAACTGAGAAAATATTAATGTGAAATGACCCAGTCTTAAATATTCTGTTGCAGCCCTAGACCCAAGTGATTGGCCCTATTCACTTACTACTACTACTACTACTATTCACTTACTACACACATGGAGAATCTTTGTATGTCGCTTTGTTGCACAATATCATTGGTAGTGTTAATAATGTTGCCTTGGAGTCAGTACTTTTAAATCCACACTGACTCCAATCTGCATTAAGCGTCACTGTCCACAGAAGCAGCCGTGTGTCAGCAGCAGCTCCGAGGGAGCTAAGAGGACAGCGGCCAGCCAAACTGCCTTCACCAGGCTGACTGTTAGCAGCCATTTACTGAACCAGAACAGTTTTAATGTTAGCACACAGGAGGAATCAGCAGTGATTGTGTTTAATTTCTCGTTTGATTTATTGATTTTATTTCCCCACCCACTGCAGCAAGTGAGGGGAATCTGCCACTCACAGACAGACAGGGGGCTGATCAATCAATAAATATAATGTTGATAAGATCAACACATATATACAGTGGGATATTTGTGTGATTTAAACAACTTAAACATTTCTGTGCAGATTACTCTTTACTATACAGCGATAGAAATGGGAACTTAAAAAACACAAGGAGTCTATGGTTATCATGGAGAGACTGCAACTTTCGCTGAAGCATAAATTGAAAACGTTGCACAACTGTATAATTTCTGTCGAGTGACACTCTTCATCAGTGTTGAGCACCCAAGCATAGATCAGCCTTTAGGCCTTGTTCTGCCTGCCAACCCACATAATTTTTTTTGGCGTATTCAGATTGTATTCACATTGATTTTAGAACATCATCATATGAAATGCAATTTTTGCTAATCATATCCAAACAATACGATTACATTCAGATTTCTACATGTGCATCTCAGTCCGGATGATTTTGCCGCTATCATAATGTATCAATTGAGCAGCATCTATGCTGCCACCAGCACAGGGTGTCTGTAGGTCCTTAAAAAGTCTTAAAATGTCTGAAACTCAATTTTATAAATATTCAGCCCTTAAAATCACCGTTAAGTCTTAAATTTGAATTTGTGAGGTTTTAATTGACACAAACATTTTATTTAAAGCAGCTGTGCAGAACTTTTCGTTTTCGTTGATTATAGCGCCCCTTTGGTCGAAGCGGTATGACACCCACAGCCTGGTGTCGTAAAATCTTGACTGCAACTGGCAATTACCGCATGCATTTGTTTTGGAGAGCAAGAGGATTAACTAACGTCAGGTCAGTCCAAGTAATTAGTGGAAACCGTAAATTCTCCTGTCGTGTTTCTGTTCTGATCTAATCCTAACACAGCAAAGCTCTTACCTGTAGCCTTCGCTTGCAAAGCTAACGCTACTAACGTTAGGCCAGTCCAAGTAATTAGTGGAAACATGCTAATGTTACACAAGTTAGTAGTAAGGTAAGACCTGTTCATAAATGTTCTGGTGTAGCTCTGAATTTATTAAAAACTGAGGACAACTGTCTGCTGTATATACGTGTTCATGGTCACAGTCACAGAATTTTGTGGCATTTGTTGTACTAGACAAAAGCGGTTCACATCAGCTACATTTAGCTTGATTATAACTTCCATGTCGTCATATATTGAAGTGAAACAACGTCTAACAAGTTGCGGTATATTCTCTAAATAAAAACAAAACTTACATACCTGTCGATTAGGAAAAGGGCCAACTCGGGATCAGTTTTAAAACCTTTCAAATCTCTCAGCTCTCTCCACTTGGTGAATGCCCGACCGAGGTTTACACACGTTTGGACTTGAGCCCTATCACTGTCCCGTTTAGCCTTCTTCTGTTCTTTTTCTTTTAGATGGTGCTCCTTCGTTATCCGCCATGACATCAAAAGTACAGCCAAGTCCTTATAGATACATCACTGGTAAAACTGTTATGTGTTCAGCAATGCCCGCTGCGTACCGCTTACTCGAAGAAAACTCTCTGTAAACACGGCTCCTTCTTCTTCTGTGGTTTAATGACTGCGGGCCGCTGCGGGTGAGTAGAATCACTTCCGCCTCGGGTGCCGTATACTGGTTTGCTGACTTCCGCTGTCCGTCCGACCCGTGCGAGGCTACACTAAATAGCCATATAGAGAAAGGCTTTTTTGTCGCTGTTGGGTTCAAATAAATATGCGGATCTTCAAGGGGGGGTGATACGAACTAGGGACAGTTTTATTAATGGTAAAAAGTTCCGCACAGCTGCTTTAAGTTCATTTATCCATTGTTGTAATTTCTTTTTGTCAAAATGAGTCAAGCTGTTCTGCGTGAAAGTCCACATTTCGATTGTTACAGATATTTTAACCTGCTACTTCTGAACCTAATACTGTCTTGTAACTTTATACTTACTCCTACCTGTTAGCATAATGTAGATTAACCTCACTCATTCTAGTACCATGTCCCTACATAACACATACCTCTGCACCACATATACAACAACATACTTACTTGCAATGCTTAAATATAGGTAAAGATAAAGAGGATTTGTCCAAAGATAAGTCTTAAATTTGGTTTTAAATTATCTTGAAGGTTTTTAAAAAAATTAAATATAAGTGTCTGATACCTGCACACACCCTGGTAGCAGAGCGCTATGGAGGACAACAGTTAGCGGACAGATGCAGATGGAGTTCTGACTTGACAGATGAATTGTTCTCATGCTTCCACAATTTAAAGCCACATCACCAGCATAGCTACTAGCTACTGACACCTGTGTCGTTACCATAGCAACCCATGCAGAGATGTTGCTGATGTCTGGACACACAAATACAATCTTATCACTTCTACATAACAAGGCAGACAGCCTGCCTTAAAGATTTGATCCAAGAAACAAATCTGATGTGCCTGCATGCTGAACGGAGCCTTCAACAACTCATTTGAATTTTGATATTCCAAGCGTGTTTTGTTTTGTTTTGTTTTTCTGTTGTTGTGATTCACAACATCTGAAGAATCTACAAATCCGCTTTTAAATTCTTCACACCCTGAACACTTGATGAATACAGCACATTTTGCATGTTAGGTTAATTTTCACAGTCCTGTCTGTGCCCCACCTCTGATCCCTCACCTCAATAAATACAAGGGTGGGGTCGTTTCAGCATGACATCATTTCTGTCAGTAATCTGCAGCAGATGTGGGTTTAGGAGGTGTGAAAATCAACCAAGACGTATTTTTCAGATCCAGGTTTGGGAGCACAATGAAAGATGATTTGCTTTGTTTGATTTACAGGGCCGCCCCATCGTGATCTGTGACAAAGACGATTACGAGACCGTCAAGAACTGCAGCCGCACCATCAAAGTGCCTCACTGTGTGGACTGCCTGCAGGGCATCCTGAGCGTCATCCCGCTGCAGCTGCTGTCCTTCCACCTGGCGGTCCTCCGAGGTTACGACGTAAGTACCGTCCCTCCAGGTTTAGCTGTAACTGATAATCCTGACTGTCTTACCAGATGAGATGAATTACCTCATCTGTCACAAAAATGCAGTAAAATAATCAGTTTCTCAAATCCCACATCTCCTCCATTTGCATCTGCAGTCGTCACTGTAACTACTTTCAGTATTACCAATACACCAATGTTTACATATGCTGTTCACAATGGAAAAGAGTCACAATAAGAGTGTACAAGCTGATAAAGTAAAGTTGAGAAAAAATGATTTTGACATTTAGAGGTGAAATGTCCAAAAGAAGCTGCACCTCATTATGAGTGAGATGCATTTTTACACTCGATGTAACTGTGAGCTCAGTGTCCTTGATTATCTGGCTGTGTACCCTATGACTGCTCTGATGGCAAAGGCACTTAGAACCACCGCAGGAAATAAACAGCGCGCAGTGTTTATATGTGCAGATCACAGTGCTCCTAACTCAAACACGTAACCGAACCTTCAGTCGGAGCATGTAAACTTCCTAACTCAGAACACTGAAGTGAAGGTGACAGTGAGTTTAGCTGCCACGTTGGAAGGATTGCAATTACATGTAAACACCTCAGTGTGTGTGTGTACAGATTCAGACATTTGGTATTTAAACAGCAACAAAAACTATCACTATTGCTACGTCTCAATTCAGAGATTTCCGTTGTGCACACAATGCACTTGTACGAAGTGTGTGAATTTCAGCAGGGTAGGGTGTTGTCACTAATCGAGCATAACTGTGCACTTATCGGAAATGACGATCATAATATTTGACTGCTTCGTCTTTTTTTAAATGGCAAATTGCAGCCTGATGGAGCATTCCTATCAGCATTTGACCACAGTTGTCAACCGCCAAAATATCTGCCAGCTTGTTTGCTTGTTTACCAGAGCAACCGCAACTGCTGCAGCTATCTTGGCTGCCGTTTTCAAAGGTTTGGTTGTCCCTCTTTTTCCGTTATGTAGCTCAGATGGCGACCACTGAGGGTGAGAAGTGTCAAGTGTCCACCTTTATGAGTACACCATCATTTTGCCATAATTGTTAGTGTGAACACACCTATGCATTCAAGATAGTACAGAAGAACTTGAACTGAGTCACAGCATATTATTAGTGTTACTGTTGTTATTCTTTTCCCATTTTTAGATGTAGCTTCCTATTTAATCCAGATTGGACTGGCTGTCGTCCCTTTTGTATACTTCACTGACTTTGCTGTATTGCAGGACTGCAAAGGTCAAAGTAAACAGCTTAGCTGGAGTACAGCTTGTAAATAAAGCCAGTGTTGATGCTGCTTTTAGAGCACTTCACTTCAGAGAGACGTCCTGACAGCACAGCCCAGTTAGCTCTTGTATTTAAGTTGGTAATTCTTCACAACTGCGCCAAATTATCTGCTGCTCTGACAGAGAGGCAAACATTTATGTGCACACAGCTCTGTTGTACTCCCGCCCCTCCTTGTTTTTTTCTAAGTATGTCCAAGTATCTGAAGTCTGAGTGATGAGAAGTGAGGATTTAGGCATTTTAAGTCGTATCACTGGCTGTTTTTGTTATGATTTTGGTCAGTCGTCCTTGATAGTTCATAGTCCATTTACATGCCTCTTGTTTGTCATATAGTAAACAACCTCTTCTATTCAAATATAGGTGGACTGTCCAAGAAACCTGGCCAAGTCTGTGACCGTCGAGTGAACCGCACCGTGCATCACATAACAACAAAGCCCGGCAGACGCACATTCAAACGCGTACAGACGGTGAGGGAGCGTCTGTATGCAGAAACCAAGAGAAGACAATGTCCCGTTTATGTGTCTCGTGTCTCGGCCCTTTTTAATGCAAACTTTTACGCGACAGTTGTGTATCTCACTGTTGCATATTATCTGTATTTCACTGTCTCTTTTCTCAGAAACTTTTTGGCATCATTGTCGTATTAATGTTAGAGAAGTTGTCACATACGTGGTGGTGAGGTCTGGGCTGGCACCGACATATCTTCCATTTCTTTGGGTTTGTGAAGCCGTAGCAACTGACACTGACCGTTTTGGGTTATTTTTTACATCCATGCTGAATATTTGTAAGCAAGCCCTCCATGTTTGTGCTGATTAGTCTCACTGGGAGCATCTTGGAGCTGCTGTTAAAGCGACTGACAGAGGTTGGGTTTTAAAGACCTCGCTGGCTCTTTTTTTTTTTTTTCTTTAGTGCAATGATTTATAGTTTAGTTTGGATATTTTTCTTTGGCAGCTAATCATTTGAAGTGTCTTTACTCCACAGTTGAAGTAAACGACCATCTTAAATCATTCCAAGCCACAGGTCATCGCTTCTTCATAATTGCAGCGCAGTTTGCCAGTTTTGACTCAGTTTTCTCTCTTGGACTTTCTTCTGAAGGACACACAACTTATTGCAGGAGCAACATCACATTAGATCACAGAAACTTTTGTGAATACACTGCTGTGTAAAATCTTGGAAAAGTTACAAAAACTCGTTGTTGTGCATATACACAGTGTTTCGGACTTTAAACTCTGGTCTTGGTGGGCTTGGATAACGAGAATGAGCCTCGTTTACTGAGCCACTTACACCAGTGTTACATTTTGTTTAGTTGCAAAACACTATTTCTGCTTTTACCGTTCTCTTTACATTATACATTAAACTCTAAAGCTATGTGTACAGTTTAGTGTTTGACTCTTTTGTTAATCTCTGTTGCCTCTCTGCTCAAAAGAGAGACCTTATCGCTGATTTAAGGTCTCCAGTTTACATTTACGATATAAACTGAAGTTATTCAAGTGAGATGAAGTTATGTAACTGAAGCAGAAGTTGCGCCCAGTTGCCAGCCCACAGCTCGCCACCACGACCACTGCAATATTGGGACCATTTGTAGCTCTTCTTTCTATCTTTTGTTATATTTAATTTTTTTTTAAGGAATTTTATATTATCGAAGTTACGCTTTGATTTGAAATGTGAACTGTCATTTGAAATGTCCTGTCAAACCAAAAATCTCTACAGTGGCTTTGGCAGTTGTAAACCAAAACATATATATTTTATATGTTAATCCTAAACTGTAGCCAAACATGTACTGATGCTGGTAGATTGTGCGGTTTGAAGATGCTTCAAGGCCTAAAGGGGGCATATACACAGTTTTATGGCAGTGTGTCATATTGTAGATGTCTATTTAGATAGAAAGTCAGATGCCAGCTGTGTGTGTGTATGTGTGTGATCCCAAATGTCTTTGTTTCAAATGCCAAGGAAAGATTGATGTACACACGTGGTTGCGTAGTGAAGGAATAGGAGCTGCTCATTTTCTTTTTTTCTTTTTTTTTTAAGTCCATCACATTGAGTTTAATATTTATCTTGCTTTTGCAATCAAGCCTTAACTTTTGCATTTCTTTCCCCTCCCTGATCATTAAGCTTTTCCTGAGCCAGTGAAAAGGGTTTGAAAACTGGACAATGTTGTTACAGGTACTTTTTGTAACCCACATACTGTACATGCTGTAAGCAGATTTTGATTTCTTGACTGGAGGTATCGACAAGGACGCTGCACTGAATCCTAGCAACATCTGTTGGAAGCTGTTGGTTTACTGAGGGAGTGGAGCACTATGTATTAGTGGAGCGATGCAATAAAGTGTCAAGTACTTCCCTTTTTACCTGTCTGAGCTCATTCGATGAGGAGGTGCAGTTGAGGGTGTACGTGGTCATAGTCCCACATGTAATCGAGCTGCTTGATTATAGATATAAATCATAATCAGAATGATTAAGATCATGATTACTCATTAACAAACAACAAACATCCATTTACTGGATTTCCTTGAGCATATTTCAACTGAAAAATAAATGCAACAAAAGAAATAGAATGATTAATATGTATACATTTATGAAATAGAAATAACTCAAATGTATATAAGATCAGTTATGTTGTAACGTTGGTGCATGTCAAATTTGATTAATCGCACAGCCCTAGTGCCAGATATTGTGCTTGATTAGACTCAGCAAATGTCACAATTATTTTATTAGAATAAAAACAAGCAGTAGAAATCCAGTTAAACTTAAATGTGGAATAATATTTAAAAAAAAAAAGTTTACAATCATTTTTGATTTAGTTTGACCACAGTTTATACAAAGAGTCCTGGAGACATTCAGGTGCTGCCCATGAGTGATGACAGATCCCAAACAATTCCAAGTACCTGAGTGGAGTAGCCAGTCACAGTCTGAAAGGTGGACAGTAATGGTCTGATGCATCCACATAAAGTCGTAATGGTGGAGACTCTGTGTCTGAAGTTCCAGCACTGAGCTGACAGGGCCAAAATGGTCACACAAACAGACACTGAACATCGGCAGAGTGCAGGCACGGCGTGCAGCACCGACTTTAACCACCTCACAGTCCTCCCTCCACACAGAGGAGAGCAGCTGTTGTTTCTGAAGGTCTTTGATGAAGCCCAGGTGGAGCAGCTCTGGTGTCCATGTTGTCCCTCTCGTGAGAAGAGCACACCTGCCAGCGTTCGCTTGAGGAATGTGTTCAGCCACAGCATGGTTGAAAGGTAAAAAGCTAAACTGTTGGTGAAAGCGAGAGCAATTACCAGAAGGATTTCATTGCACTGACTAACCACGAAGACGGCTTCAAGTGCAGCTGCAGAGTAATTACAGAAGACGGCCACAGCTTTGAACAAACACAGCCTCCATTCTCCAACCACTCCATTCTCCATCTGAAGCATTTCAGGTAACATCCTCTGTGCTGCAGCCAAGTCCTTCACCTGCATGTACAAACCAGCCACAGCTGCTTTGTGATGTCTGAGTGATTGGATAACTATTAGCAGGTGCTTTCATCACTTGTGACAAGGCTTGAATATGGTAGGTATAATTTTTTGACACCACAACAAAAGCACAGGTGTAACCAATCACACTGATGATGGCTCCATTGTTTTAAAGTGTCCCATTGAGCCACCAGGAGCCTGAACCTGGAACACCTCAGTGGATCACAGCCATTGTTATTGTGATTAACTACACCTCCAATTTTCATCTCAATGACAAACCAAAATGTCAGCTGTGAAAACAGCCCACAGGAGGGAGAGATGAGTTTCTTCAGTTTTACTTTCAGAAGTTGCTCTCCATTTTTTCCAGTAGACCTTTTAAAAAATGTTTTAATCTGTAATCATACAACGATACAAAAACAAAAGAGGTGCATATACTTAGATTAAAAAGAGGTTTTTAAGGCGTTGTAGATGACCATGGGCCTGATTGCTCTGATTCATCAGTCCTTTCAGTGTTTCAAAGTATAGTTTTATTTCATTCTTGAATGCATGAATATTGGGTTTCCTTTTAGACCGTTGCATTCATGGATCTGAAACTTTCCATTTAAAATAAGACGTTTAAAAATAAAGACAACTTCTGTCCAGATTCTTTTTCTTTTTTTTATGACATTCAGATTTCAGCCTCAGTGTAAGAAGTGTAAGCCTGTGACATCAGCAGCCCAATTACTGCAACTGAGCAGTCAGCTGACACACCAGGTATTTATTAGGTGTTGTTTCCTGCCTGCTACTGATGATGGTTTTAAAATAAAACTGAGAGCTTGAAACTGCAGTAATGCCTCTGTCCCTTTTTTGGTCCTTTTTTAATATTTTTTTATAGGTTAGTAAGTGTGATCAGTGGTGGAATGTACATTTATTCAAGTACTGTATTTAAGTACAATTTTGAGGTACTTGTACTTTGCATGAGTATATACATTTTATGATACTATATACTTGTACTCCAGTACAGTTGTCACAGGGAAATATTGTTTATTTTATTTATATTTATTTGATAACTGTAGTTACTAGCAATTTTGCATTTAGAGTATTAATACAAAATATAAATCAACTAATAAATTATGATGTATTACTCTAGGTTAAGCTATCCAGCAGTATATAAAGTGATTTAAATTATCCCCACATTTACCGGCTACAGAATAGAAGTGATGAACACATTAATGCATCACTTATTTTAATTCAGTAATATAATACACTGCTCAAAATATCAAGGGAATACTTAAGTCACACATCAGATCTTGATGAATTATTCAAGCTGAAAATCTTTACTGATGTACATTGTATAATTTTTTAAGAGCAAAATGACGTAACAGTGGTCAGTGGAAACCACAATCATCAACCCACTGAGGGCTGGATTCGAAATCACACCAAAAATTGAAAAAAATTGAAACCACAGGCTGATCCAAGTTGCATGAATTTTATTACAGCAACACATAGTGTGACTCAGTAGTGTGTATGGCTCCTGTGTGCCTGTATGCACTCCCGACAATGTCTGGGCAGCCTCCCAATGAGTCAGTGGATGGTGTCCTGGGGTTTCTCCTCCCAGGCCTGGATCAGGGCATCAGTGAACTTCTGGACAGTCTGTGGCAGTACTTGGCGTCATCGGATGCACTGATACATAATGTCCCATAGGTGCTCAGTTGGATTTAGGTCAGGGCAACAAGAGGGCCAGTCAATGGTATCAATACCTTCATCATCCAGGAACTGCCTACACACTCTGGCCACATGAGGCCAGGCATTGTACTGCACCAGGAGGAACCCAAGGCCCACTGCACCAGTGTAAGGCCTGAAAGTCGCTCTGAGGATTTCATCCCAGTGCCTAACAGCAGTCAGGATACCAGCTATGACATGGAGGTCTGTGCAACCCTGGCCCATAGTCAGAAACATGCACACCAGTAGCCTGCTGGAGGTCATTTTTTAGGGCTCTGGCAGTGCTCCTCCTGTTCCTCCTCATTCAAAGGAGCAGATACCGGTCCTGCTGCTGGGTTGGTGCCCTTCTATGACCCTGTCCAGCTGTATTTGTGTAACAGTCGGTCTCCTGGTATCTCCTCCATACTCTTGAGACTGTGTTGGAAAACACAGCAAACCTTCTTGCAGCCGCACCTACGGATGTGCCATCCTGGAGGAACTGGACAACCTGTGCAACCAGATTTGCCTGCAGGTACTGCCTCATGCTACCAGCAGTGACAAGGACACTAGCAGAACACAAAACTAGAGAAGAATCAGTCAGGAAGGATAAGGAGAGAGCAACTGTCTGTGACCACCACATGTAAAACCATTTCCTTTTTGGGGGTTGTCTTGCTTTTGCCTCTCCATGCACCTGTTGTAACTTTGATTTGCACCAAAGCAGGTGAAACTGATTCACAATCATTTATGCTTCCTAAATGGACAGATTGATATCCCTGAAGTTAAACTGACTTGGTGTTATACTGTGACCATAAAGTGTTCCTTTATTTTTTATTTTTAGCAGTGCATCTGAAATGGGCCATTCTACATAATAAATACCGTCACTTTTGGTACTATTACTTTGCTAGTATATTTTTATGCCATTACTTTTGTACTTTTACTTGAGTAAGATTTTTGAATGCAGGACTTTAACTTATAACTGAGTATTTTTACAATGCAGTATTGCTGCTTTTACGTTAGTAAAAGATCTGAATATTTCTTTTTTTAAGGGGATAGTTCACCTCAAAACCAAAAACACATTTTCCCTCTTACCTGTAGATCTTGTTGTGAGCGGTTTCATGTAGGAACTATTTTCTTTCTACCAAAGTACACCTACCAAGAGTAACACAGTGCAGAAGGAAGCATCTATGGAAAAGAGGCTTGTGCTCGTGACAGCGCCAGATGTAAATATTAATGGCGTCCTCCTTAGCTGACCTTTAATGTTAGCTAGCTCAACTGAAATCCTCTTAATCCTTAAGTGTGGTGGATTGTGGAAGACCAGCGTGGTGATAGAGTTAGTGAGTGTAGTTTGGTAGAAAGACCCTACATGAAACTGCTCACAACAAGGTCTGTGAGTAACCAGGTCATGATTCCTGGAAAGAGACATTGATGTTGAGTTTTTCAAATGTATTTTTTGGAGCTTTGAGCGCCACAAGCTGAGTGCCATCTAGTTCCATTATATTCAAGAGAAGGCAGACATCTCTATGACTAATATCTCCAAAACTCAGCAACTCACACCAAAACAGTCTACACTGATAAACATCACTACATTAAGGCTTGTTTAATTAGTTCAAATACCCTGGTTATTATCGCTGATGAGTAATATTAAGACAGAGATAAGCTCATAGATTCAGTTTGAATACTGGCTGATTACAGTGCACAACCTACAAGAACACATGAGCTGATTTTTGATAATCTAATCTACCATGCAAGCTGTATGTAGGCCAGACTCTAGTGAGTGTTGTATTTACACAAAGCCAACCTCACTTAGAGTGAGAGAATTTTTTTTTTCAATAAACTGTCAGTCACTAATTAAGGTCTACAGATCATCTCTGATTTTAATCTTTTTATACTGATGAAGAACTCCACCAAAATTCTTCCAACTAACTTATATAAAAGGAGACAGCACCCAGCAGAACACTGGGGCCTATTGTTGTTGGATTTTTATCATATGGGAGACGTCTGTGTCATGATCTGTGATGTAATGTTTATATATGTATATGTCAGACATCTGTGCTGTAATAGTTCAGACACAGTGGAAACAAAACCTGGCAGCACACTCGAGGCATCTTAGATTGAGTTTGTCTGACATGGAAAAGTCACAGAAAACAGCCTGACTTAAACTGTCCCTGCGTACTGTCAACTTCAAATCTTAATCAAAGTCACTCTCTTTGAGAAATTCAGAAGCTGCGTCTCGAAATTCCACTCTTTCCCGTCCCCTGTCCCCAAATTATGTCACGTACCATTCGGGACGCCTTTCCTGCAGCCTGTCCACATTTCCTAAGGATTAGATGGTGTCTAATATTTTCCAAGATAGCTCACTCCATTCGTGCATGTGACATAATGCAACATATGAACATCTGGGATTAGTTAGCCGTGCTCTGCATGTTCTTTTCTCTCTTTTTTTTCCATCACAGGGAGTGAGTGAGTGTGTACTTTTTGCAAATAGCCACTGTACACTGCATGAACCCAGTGATCCCGGTGGCAATATCAGTCGTCTAACTTACCGTGGAATGAATGAAAATAGAATTAAAAGTTCAATTAGAGTGTAACAGAATATCTTAACATACTGTAAAATAACTTACATGTGGGAGACGTTATGCAGAGTTTGTAAAAGGAGGAGCACTTTAGATTAAAAGTGACTCCAGGAAATATGAGGGTAAAGCCATTAAAGACTTTACAGGATTTTGATGGAAGCTACAAGAGCACAGTGGCTGTTTACACATCATCAGGAAGTAAATCACAATGGTTTACAGGTCAGTAACTGTATCTGAAGAGAAATACAGAGAGACAAAGAGTCCACTTTAAATTGTTTACTTTCATTTTGAATGAAACAAACAAAGACGTGTACACAGTGTACTGTATTGGTGGAAAGTTACATAAGGTCTTTTCAGTTTTGCCATGACATTTATATAAGACATTGAGTGAATCACTAGAGATCGCTAAAGATGAGTCTGCAATCTTCATTGCTTTCTGCAGAGACTCTTCTGATCACCATCAAAGAGCAGCTGCATATTAACCTCTAATTCAATCTACGCTGAACTTTGTTTGACCCATGAAACAGAATGCTTTAATTGAAAGCACCATGTGCAAAAAAAGAACTGGATTATTTTGTTTCAGTTGATTAAACTGGCTGTCATGAATATGTATAGTCGACTAGTCTTTTCCTTTTTGGCATATACACACACACCCAGATATCTGACACAAATGGTTATATCAAAATACTTCATAAAAACAACTTTTGCTGGAGGCTGTGGGTGGATGAGCAAGATGATGTGCAAAGCTTTTCCCTGACTATGACATACTTTTTGTCCACATACTGATAGACAGTGTATGCAGTGATTGCAGTCATCTCGGCCAGGTCTGTCATAGTAATGTTTGGTGACTACGTCTAAATTCACTGTTTACTCTGATGTGCACAAAAAAAAGGCCAGCTGTGACTCACATTAGGCCGGTTTAATACATGTCATGGAAGTCAAAAGTTGCAGGAACAAGTTCAGATACGTAGCGTTGCTGTTTAAATACACATACTGTACATGTGTTTATCAGTTTATTTGTCTAACCTCAACAATGAAAAATGTGGTCTACTCGACAATAAAAGTACAAATAAAAAATGCATTTATGTTGTATAAAACAAGGTAGAAATGTTATAAAAAGAACTCAAACACTATTGCATGCAATTGCTCAACATTCAAGAGTACAAAAACAGGGATTTTTTTCAGATTCTTCTAAACATCCCATGTGGAACATTTGCAATATGAGTCTTTTATCTCTTATCAGGGAAGATAGGAATGTTACTCAGACATATTTTAGTGTCATGATCATTTTGACTGTGCTCCTTATACAAAGGCATCAGAACAAGCTGTTGTTCCTCTGCTCGGTCAGGATTCGTCCAATCTTGTGTGCACGTGGAGGGGACAACTGGGCCTGCAGCAGCTCTGAGGACCATGGAGGCAAATGTTTTTGAGCCGGCTCGCATGACCTCATTTGTAGGGAATGTCTGTGTAATTCAAGCATCAGAGCAATTGCACTGTTGGGCTAAATGTGTACCAAAGTCACTGTAGACAAATAGCAAAAAACAAGTCCTCTCTGCTCCACTTCACAAGGCAGAAAAGCCACAGCCCACTGAGGGTGGCATGCGGCACTCGCATGTCCTCGCAGGTACAATCAATGATGGTCATGTGCTGATTGTTGGTGGGACTCTGAGTTGCCTTTTTAAATCCTGGTAAACTCTCTCCCATCTGTGCCCAGAGCTCTACAGGCCAGGGCGAGGCGGTGGGCGAGCAGGTGGAGGGGCCCGTCCTGGAGGAGGTCCCTGCGGAAGAGGAGGCAGGGACCCAGTCGGGGAGGCAGAGGGTGGAGGAGTAGGTGGGAGCGCTGGCGGGGCAGGTATGTGCAGGGCTGTTGGAGGAAGGGCCCGGGTGGGAGGTGGTGTGTAAGGGGGAGGCGTGATGGGAGGGGAGGGAGTGTTGGAGGTGGGAGGAGGCGTTGGAGGCAGCAGGGGAAAGGTGGAGAAGGAGAACGATGGAGATGATGGAGGGCTGTTGGGGCTCGGTGGTAGGGTGCCCTGCGGTGCAGGTGGGCTCCTGACGGGAGGGTTGTAGATGGGAGATTGCTGGTTGTTGTAGTTTGGGTAGCGAGGAGAGGGAGACTTTGTGCGGGTGAAGTTCATGCATCGGCCCTGAAATTTGAAGACACATCAGATTTAAGAGGAAATTAGTGATGATAAATAACATACTGTATGAACAACAACTATGTTTCACTTTTATGATCTCACTTAGATTCAAGGTTTTTTCCTCACCACATTTCCATTTCTATGATGCATATATTATGAGATGGACGTATCCAAGTATGTCTATATGATGAGTGATTGGTCCAGGATTTGTGTGTTATGTGTAACACAAGCCCCCAGGACCAGCACTTAGCTTTGAAGCCAATTTTACATAGTGGCCAAATGTGGAATTGCAACATCCAGGTCTGTCAGGTGATGCCATGGGACCCCAAAAAACTTTTGAATGAATGATTTATGGGCGGGACTTCTGGCCCTGAACCAGAGCTGGTGCATTCCTGTGGTAACAATATGTTAATCCTCTTTTCTAGAACAACTGGAGAGTAAAACATTGGGATAATATGATCATGCGTCAGCCATATCAAAGCGCTGGATGTTTACCTTTTTAACCAAGCACGTTAGCATTAGCTTGCCCTCCTACGTTAATGTTGTTAAATTTAACAAAGCTCAAGCTGGGCTGCGGCAAACATCTACTCCTTCTAAAAGATGATTCATGATTTTCTATGACTCATAAACAGACAGTAACGCATTTAAAATTTGAACATTTAAGATAATTCAGTATTAATTTTAGCTCCATGTCAATTGAATATGTGATATTTCCCAGACTATGGTGTTCTGAATAACCAAACGGTGCATTCCAGTGCTCTGTATTCACGAACAGTCCCATTTGTGGCATAGTACAGTCACTAAAGCATTCTATCTGACAAGCTAACAGATTCTGCTGTAGCATTACTATATACTCTTGTAACTCTTGTAACAGTAGCTAAAGCATGTTATCCAACAAGCAAATGCTGACAAATATACCCAGCCAATATTTGTATGAGGGGCACATATCGGTCGGAAATGGACAGAAAAAATGGGCCCTGTATGGGTTTGAAAACAGGTTTACCATTTGCTCTATGCCAATTGCCCACATGGGTGGGTTTACCCAAGTGGGCCCATGATAAGATGCCCATTTCCCACTTTGTACCCAGGCAGCCCTAGCATAACTAATGCAGGGCCCACTTTATTAAAGCAAACCATGTGGGCAACTGGCACGGGGCCATTATGGAACCCATAGGGCCAATTTGTTGGCCCATTTACTACCCACACACAAATGTTGGCTCGGTAGCTCCCTAAAACTTTTTGAAATTCACAGACACCAACAAATTGGTAGCTTAAGTAGCCTTATAAGCAGGTGAGAAAGAAAAAAATATATTTTGTTAATTAAAAACTACATTTCTTTTTACACTCAGTTTTAGTTATTAACTATAACTATTTTTTTTTATTCATTTAGTTACATCTTTAAATTTTCTAATAGGCCTTACTACTGTAATTACATGTCAGTTGATGTGGCAATCGCCGAACTGTGTTTATCTAATGCCAGACATTTTCTGAAATGTTCTGTAGGACTTATACCGCACACATTCTGACAACTGTATGTAATGAATATAATATTTTGCAACTGCTGTGTTTGCTTCTCATTATGCCTCTTTAGTCCAAAACATTTGTTTCATCTGCAGCTTGGAAAATGACATCCTTGGTTGAACAACTTTTCTTTTTTAAATCTGATTTCTTTGACAAAACACACAGCTTTCCTCCTGTGACAGCTAAATTCGTCTAAGAAATAAAAATGTCCGAAGCTGCTTTCTGTTAAAATTCACATGGACTGATGACTACAGCAGATGGTACTGTGACTCCCCTTTGCTGTTGTCAACACACACCTACATGACTGTGTTTTAATGTCAACATACCTCTATAAACGCTGTAATTCTCAATCACAGCTTCAGTTAGAGGCAATTATGCGTATGTTCTACTCAGCCTGACAAAATGACCTGCCACCACTCTCCCCCTGTCCAAACCAAAGTGAGGTCATGCAACAGAGACTATCATATTCCAGAAACAAGCTACACCCCGAGAGCAGCTGCACTGAGGGGATCAGGGAGTTGCAGTGGGCTGATAAGGGATGACAGCACTGCTCTGTACCTCTCATTTACCAACGGGGCGAAATGACCTCTGAGACAAAACCATCCGAAATGTTGCGTACGTATATGCATATACACAGCAAGGATGAAAATATAAGCTCAACCAGTATTTTCATTCCTTAAGTTCCAGAGGGACGGTGAATATCATGGATCTTAACAATCTTGGACTCCTGCACTGTATCAGTCACAGCTCACCTAAAAATTACTCAACACTGAAGAAAATATGTGATAGAAAAGTGTTTTAACCTGGCATGTTGTGCCGTGTTTGATTCCTTAATTACTAAACCCCCCCCCCCATCTTTAGAGTCTCAGAAATACATGACACGTTACAGGAACCTGACTCAAGTTTCTCTCAGGCGGGCAGTAAGATCAACTGGCCTCTTCCCTCCCACTGCTGCATTCATTTAGGGGAAGTTATAAAAGCAAGGCTTTGACAAGAGTCTCCTAATTGTAACCAGAACAAGCTTGTTTACTGCAAATCATCAAGGATAGTAGAGCCGAGCTGTTTTTCCAGTGAACTAATGAAGAGCTTTATAGTGTGGAGGACTCACTTGTACACTTCTAATTACAGAGTGGTGTGTTAGCTGCACTTACTGTACTGGGGGGGAAAGCAAGGTTTGTAGCCCTCTGAATATTTCATAGTTTGACTGTGAGTGTAGTAAAGTGAGCCGGTCCACCTGATTGGTTCAGCTTCAAGGCTGATTAGTTTCATGTAGGCCTCAGGTGTGCTCCTCTACATAAACTGAGCATGTTGTAGACTGCCAGCGCATTTCCTCAGTGTCTAACTCCACTGCATGTTAACTGAAAGTAAGACAAAACTGGCCCTGCTGGCTGACTGGCAAAATTACAAGGGCTGATTTGATGAATCTGAAAAGATGCCAAAGCTTAAGGAAGCTGTATGTGACATTCACAGCATATCTATGGGTGCATTGCATCATGCTATCGTGTCTTCTTGCTTCCCTCACTTGATTCCTTCTCGTGCTTGTGTCTTAGTCCCACCCATGGGACATGTGAGTGGAGGAGTTGAGGAGGACAAGCATGGATGGAGGAGCCAAAACTGCCAAATGAGAAATCCTTGTTTCTATTGTGTCAGTCATAAGTGATGTCAGTTACAGATGATGTGCTGCACAGCTGTATCACTTGTCAGTATCTTTAATAGATAGATAGATAGATAGATGGATAGATAGATGATTTATGTATGGATCATTGTTATTTGTTAGGATTACTTAGCTATTTATTTTCTTGCATTATTGTTATCTGCACAATACACCACATGCATACAGTACATGCATTTAAAGGACTGGAAGATCCTTCATGATGGCGGAGAGGGAACAATTTCCAGGTCATGGGAGGAGAGAGGAGGCAAGGAAGCATAAGTAAGCATGATGAAAATGACCCTATGATTCAGAGTCTGGTGTGGGATAATCAGCACATGGTGCTATGTGCACCTGTGCTAGCAGCTAGCAGCTAATGGTGCTAATTCAGTAAACAAGCTAACAACAGCAACAGTGCTGACAGAGCTAACATTGTAACCTGGGTGACTACCGGAGGGTGGGGGCTACATTTCATCCCAAAGTCAGGGGTAACGGCCATATGAGCACAGCAGCGATTAGCTAGCTGGTGGGACACACTCACCAGACTGCATAGATATATATACGTAGATGCCGCATTCAACGGTGCTCCTCATTGGAGCGATATGTCAACGCGGCCGCCATCTTGCCCAGGTGGAGCCGCGCTGCCTAGTGCATGTATGTCTATTGAGGCAGGAGATTATTTATGATTAAAATCATCATTACTCACTGAATTCTCAACCGATTTTCATGCGGTTTGGTTTGTTACAATTGTCAGACATGTAGTTATGATACAGGATACTTGGTTAAATAAAAAATGCAGCTTTTCATACCAAAATATTTGATCTTATGTAGATAAAGTAACAGCAATAGTTCTACAACACATTTAAACTAAACTTTCCCCATGTAATAAATTTTTTCTTACTAGATGTACAATGCCCACCATGATGTCATTTAATTATTAATTTTGACTATAAATGTTTATTCACATTTCACACAATGTGCAAAAAATAGTGTATCAGCAGGGTAGTGCCGAGCTGCAGTGTAGATTCTGATTAACAAATGTTGGTTTTGTGAAAATAAATGACTTAGAGCTGCATGTTTACACAAAATTTTGCTTTAATCTCATATGTATAACACCACAGTGCTCATGGGAGCCTGGACACAGAACTGTTTACATTATTAGGTCATATTTACAAAAAATACAGTGTACAGTAGCTAGTATTATTTTTAGGAGTCTGCCCAGTCCTGTCGAAGTCCTCAGGTCTGAAGTGACAGCTGCAGATGACTGAGGAGTCACTCGGGACGAAGTCCTTTCTCCTCACTGCTGCTACCCATGCCCGTCTCCTATCTGTGTGTTTTTGGGAAACTACACACAAAATAAGTGTGTCAGAAAAACGCAGTTCCACATAATTTGTAGTTACAATTCAGGCCACAAGTTAACTACTAACGTTATACTGCGTTATGTCACGCTGGTGCCATGAAACAGATAGTTGACAATTTGGAATAACACATACACCGACATAGCTGTTTGACAAAGCATCATAATTTTATATGTAATATTATATAAATGTTAACCTTTTTTCTTTAAGTTGTGTGACATAGCGTTAGCTTAATTTGGCATTAGGACCAGATCAGGACAGTTACTTTACTTGATTAGCTTAAAAGAAGGATCACTTTTTGAGATATATATCTCATTAAACATGTTCGTAACAGTAAAATATTGTAAAACAACTTCTTACCTGTGGAATGTTATTCCCTTCTGCTTGGTTTTAACACTTCTTTCGTTCGTACACCCAAATGCAGAGCAAAAATGTGGCATTTTTGCCGAGTCTGACACGGGTCTGAACCGGTCAGA